GAATGTATGAGTTCTGAGGCTTCCACCCTGATTTCAGAAGGCCTGGGAGCCAGGCAGTGAGGCCCTGGGAGGGCAGGGTGTGTAGCTGTGAGTGCAAAGCCAAAAGTGCAGGGAAGACACCAGAAGTTTAGAAAAGCCAGGAACATGAACTGTCTAAGGAAAGCTGCAAAGAAAGAGCAAAGCAGATCTGAGAGAGAAGCTCTGGGAGCTTCAACCACCAGAAGTACTGTCAGAATAAAGTCACACAAGCCTTTTGGAGCTCACAATTTACCACAGATGGCTTCAGATGCTGGACGGGCAACTCAGGACTTAACATCTGCCCTGCTGGAGTCTGGATGTGCACTGGTTCCAGCAGTTTGTTTCCTGTTTGTACCTTTTGGAATGAGAATGTTTATCTTGTGCCATTGCATGTTGGAAGCGTTTAACTTTGTAGAGGGCCTTGCAGCTAAGAGTTTGCCTCCCATCTGGGAGAAGACTTGGGACTTGAACTTTTCCGCAATGCGTTTTGAAACTGTTAGGAATTTAGCAACTCTTGCAGATAGCCTAAATGCCTTTTCCTTAAGGGAATGTGCATGAGTCGTTAGGGAGCCAAGGACAGAATGTTATGATTCTAATGTAACATAATATGGATAGACTTAATATTGGGTCTTAAGAATTGTTAAAGCTGTGTTATAATGTTCAGGTTATAAAATATTAACAATAAGCATGACTTTGTATCTGAAGGCTGGTTTAAAGAAATATGTCTGGTTGCCAAATTGATAAGGGGTGGACTGTTTTGATTGATACCTTGTGTCAACTTGAGAAGTTTATTAGTTTAACAGAGACTCAGCAGGGAGCCAGAATCCTTACTTGTAAATAAACTCCTCCTGTGCAAAAGGAGGGCAGAGAGATTTTGTGAATGCCACATCCACCCCTGAAGAGGGTGGTGGTGGTGGCCTGTGTACAATATAAGGGAGGGAAAGAGGCTTGCCCTACTCCGCTTTTGCTCTGGCTCATGCCTTGTGGACTGAAACCTCAAAAAGCTGAAAGTTAAATAAACCTTTCCTTCTTTAATTCTGGGTGTTGGGTATTTTGTTCCAGCAATGAGAGAAAAGTAACCATGATAGATTCTTAGTGTAACAGAGAAAAACTTCACTGCTATTGTTTCTGAATCCACATTGCCTCTCTCTCCTAAGAAACCACCACTTAACCAAGTTTCACCATAGTATCAAAGAAGAATATCCTTACTTATCTGAAAAGGGCATTAAAATACTTCCCCCTTTCAAAAAAATGTGGGTACTTCGAATCATAACAGATTGTATGTAGTAATACTTACGTGAATTCTGTTTCTTTTTTATGCCAAATATTGTAAAGATACTTCAAAAATTCCACAACTCTTCTCAATGAGTATTTTATTATGGAAAATACAGTAATTTTTCATGAAAATGTGATTTTTCTATTAACATGTAATGGATTTAGTATTTTAATTTTTTAACTTACTCAAACTTTTGTCATTTTAATTTCTAATACAGTAGATATTGATAGATATAATCCACGTTTGTAAGGTTCTCCTTAAAAATCTTTCATCATTTTTTAAGTGCATAGTAGTTTTGAGACCAAAGAAAGATTGAAAATTACTACATTTATACAGCTATTTGGTCCTTAACAAAAGAGTAAAAAATATACCATGGAAGAAAGATAGCCTCTTTATTTAATAAATGCTGCTGAGGAAATTGGATATCCACATGCAGAAAACTAGACACACACATCTCACTATGTACTAAACTAAAATCAAAATTTACAAAGATCTAAGTGTTGAAACTGAAAGTCCACTGGAAGATACAATAGGTACAACTGTTGAAGACATGGGTGTAGGCAAGGACTTTATGAACAGAACTCCAATAACATGAGAAATGGTATCATATCAAATTAACAGCTTCTGCACAGGAAAAAACAAAAACGAAAACACAAACAGAGTAGACTGACAATCTATGGAGTAGGAATAAATTCTAGCAGCTGTACCTCAGAGGACTAACATCAAGAATACATAAAGAACTGAAAAAGAAATTAGACCTTCCCAAAATAGAAGACCCAATCTAAAAAAAAAAAAAAAAAACGCAACAGGGAGACAGTTGCCTTGGTGATAGCTTTCATAAGTCACATGTCCTGCTGTCCCCATCCCTCTAGACTTTGCTGATTTTATCCCGGAAAGTCTTGCATCCCAGGAATGCCTTTAGTCTTGGGCAAACTGACACAATCAGTCGCCCTATTCCCAAAAGCTTTACTGAATGCCTCTAATCAAGAATTCAGTTTCTCTATTGCAAAGGGGAGCCAGAGTCAATCATTTACTCTCTGACAAGAAAATCTGAGGCTAAAAAAATAAGCAGATCATAACAAACACTAGGAATACACAATGGATGCTGAATGGAGAAGCCAGGCAGGCACATGTGTGTGCAAATACACACACACACACACATACACACACACAGCACAACTGAAATGAATAGACACCTCAGAAGTACAAATGGCCAATAAATACATGAAAAGATGCTCATCACTGCTGACCATCAGAGAAATGTAAATTAAAACTGTACTGAAATATTATCTTATCCCAGAAAGAATGGCTAGCAACAAAAATCTTTTACCAAATGCTAAGAGGCTGTAGGGAAAAAGGAACTGTACTACACTGTTGATAAGAATGTAAACTAATACAACCACCATGGAAACCAATGTGGAGATTCCTCCAAAATCTGAAACTAGACACTTCATTTGACTCAGCTGTCTTCCTTCTATGTATCTTCCCAAAACAATTAAAAGTCACCATAATACATGGACACATGCATACCCATGTACACAGCCGCATAACTTTTAATAGCTAAATTTCTGATACAGCATATATATTCATCAGGAAGAACGGCCAAGGAAAATGTGGTATTTATACACAATAGCGTACTAAGCTGCCATGAAGAGATAAAGTTGAGGCATTCATTGGTAAATAGATGCAATTTGAGAACATAATGTTAAGGGTAATATATTAGACAAGCTCAAATATGGCAAGATTTCTCTTATCTGAGAAATACAAAGAACAAAATCGAAGATATAAATAGGAAGCAGGGAGAAATTCAAATACTTTTCCATACTACAAATTCTGTTGTTTTAAAAATATTTCAATATATATGCTAATTGGTTTCATTTATACTACTAGTTTATCTTAGTTTGGTAAAAAGAAAACTTTGTGTTATTTGTTTTTTGAAACAGGGTCTTGCTATGTAGTTCAGGCAGGCCTCAAACTTACAGTGATCCTCCTGCCTCAGCCAACTAAGTGCTGGGAGTGCAGGCTTGTGCCACCTCATTGGCTTTTTTTTCTCTGTAGAATCTTTGTTATGTATTGTCCCCTGAGTAACTACTTTGAAGATGATGATACATAGCGTCAAAACTTATTTGATTATAAGATTTTGTTCTATTTTTTCATAAAATAAAAATTTAAAAATCACTCCATTAGATCATGTTCCTGCTTATAATATTTAAAATGAGTTTTTAAAATTCTGTGTACCAATACTTCTCAAAAATCTCATGATTACCAAGATGTACACTAATTAGTGTTTTTGATCAATGTGTATTCAGATAAACCCAATCAAGTGACCAGATACGCAAAGATAAAGCTCCACTAAAACAAAATGCTTATAAAAGCACCGTTAGTTATAGGTAAATCCAAAGACACTCTAAGCAATGAGGGAAAACAGCATCAACTATCTTAAACACTTTATAGTAAGGTCCTCACTGGTACTTACTTAATGATGATGTCTTACTAGTAATAACACATGAAGCAAACATATTTCTTCACTGCTTAAATTGATGGAGTATTTTTAATGTCACAAGAATTATCCTTGACACGATAGAAAAAATGGGAAACATTTCTAGCTATTTATCTGTAATATTTTATGACAAACATCAAATTTAATTAAAAAGCAAATTTTAGCCTGGCATGATGGCACATGCCTGTAATCTTCGCACTTGGGGAGGCTAAGGCAGGAAGATCACAAACAAGTATAAACCCAGTCTGGGCAATCTAGCAATTTAGTGACTCAAAATTTTAAACTTCAGGAGATGTTTGGGATGTAACTCAGTGTGGAGACTGTGTGTTCAAGCCCCAGTATCACAGTAAAATAACAACAAAAACTCAAAAGAGCTACTTTTCTGTATTCTCCAACACCAGGATAGACCCTGTTGTCTCTGAAGCCTGTATTAAACCTTCAGTGAAATGGTCACCTGGCTTTAAAAGAGCAGTAAAAGTAGAATTTACTGCCCACAGGCCAGCACAGTTTTATTTTCTATATTCTGTTAAAAGATGGCTATTTAAGAGCAAGTGGAAATGATATGAGCATTATATGAGCCTAAAAACTAAAATGCTATTACCAAAATTCTCAAATTGAACTCATATTTCAAAACCAAAATTTAGAAAACAGCAAAAGTCAGTGAGCCTTCTGAGTTGAAACAGCATCCATGAAAGCACACAAATGTTTATATTTGAGGATGTTCAGCTTTGGGAATACGAATGGTAATAAAAATGTATTTTTTATTTAGGGCAGTATTAAACCAGTTATCTTCAAGTAAGCTATAAAAGTTGGCTCATTAATTCTATTGAATTAGAAACTTAAAATTGGTGAAAGGGCAACTTTTATGTCATATGCATCTTACCAAAATTTCTAAAATTTAGTGCTATATACCAAAATCCAAGAGTGTACACTTTGCATGGCTGCACTGTAGGATATGTGATTTATAACTTAAAGAAACTATTTTTTAAAAACGGCAACAAAGTTGCCCTGCCTCTAGTAGAATCCTGGCTGCTAGCTCACTGAGGGAGGTCCGTGTATTATACAGCAAAGATACTCCAAGAAGTGGAAAGATGTTTGAGAGTCAGTGCAATTAAGATTACTTCTGAGCTACAAATTCCTTAACTCTTCTAAAATAATCTGTGTAAGACAATAAAAATGCATACAAATAAAAAGTCACATACTTGGTTCCTTTAAGCTTATTTAATATTTGAACTCTTATTTTTCTATTTTCCCAGGCCCCAGAAAACAGAAAGTTTTTTAGATGACCAATATTTTGTTCCAGAGACATACAGCCTTATTAGCTAATTCATAAAAGAGCTATTTTACAAAGGTATATTTGGATAATTAGAACAATAAAGTCTTTTAGGTATTTCAAAATGTGATCAGTAAAAATACATGATTATTAATAAAGTTTTTTTAAAGATAGTTCCAGATTTTTTTTAAAAGCAATTTCTGTTAAAGAGTACATGATTGTATGGTGAACAAGGAAATAAAATGTCCTAGTAGGAAGAGGCTTATTAAAAATAACCAACAGTGTGCACGTGACAGTTACCAGTTTTGAAGTACGTCTGCTTAGCAGTTGGCACCTGGAAATGGCAGGGAGGCTTCCTTCTAGGAGGTACACTTTTTCCCTACTAATTTATTACCAAAACCCTCAGTTTCAGTGGTGAAGGCATAGGGAGTAAGACAAAGGAATTCCTGAAGAAAGAATAATTCTGCAGATCATTCTGAAAAGGTGAGAATGTCAGAAAAGCATGACTTATAAAACAAAATGGGGCAAGGGGATTAGCCCATAGGAAGCTGCAGTAAGTTCCTGATAATTTTATATTTTGAGGTTTTCTGCACTAGTTTTCAGTGGTGTCTTCTATGAAAAGTAGGAAAGGAAACACTGACCAACACTCTAGTAGTTCTAAATGACATCACATAGCAACTTCACAGAAGACAGCTTCCAGTGTGAAATATGGACTCCCCAGGCAATGCATCAAACTTAAGATGTCAGAAAAGATATAAGTAAATGACAACTTGCAAGAGCCATAATTATTTTCTTTTGCTTCTAAATATTAGGAAAGAAAAGGACCTTCCCCTCTACTATCACAGGAGTTCCTTCTTCCCAAACATAGTAAGAAACAAATAAAGGGGACTTACTTTGTAATAGTCATTAGGAGTTGTTTTTTGGGGGAAAAAATCCAAAAATTTCATATAATATACCTCCCATGCAATTAATAAATAGTTACAATTTACGTTCTAAAAGCCAACATAACTCTAACAGTTCAAGTTAGCTGATTTCAAAGTATATAAAATATATGGTGAAGATGATAATCATAATTTTAAATTACAGCACTTTGGGGGCTTTGCTGATTACCTAAGTCTGTTCTCTGAAAGGGAAGGAGACACTCCAAATGTAATTTGGCACCAAACAGCAAAGGAGCCGGTGAGCCCACTAGAGCTCTGAGGGTCACTGCGGGTCACTCCCGTTGCTCACACTTGGCTTTCTGGCTTGGGGAAGGCTCTATTTTTCATCTTCTTGTACTCTTTGGCACAAGAGTAGATGACTCTAACTTCTAGTCATATAACTTAAACCACTTTGAAATAAGAACCAGTCTCATTCAAAGACAGGGAAAATATCTAACTCAATCGTCCTGTGACGGAGACAGGAGAATCTTGTGGATATGATTACAATGGCCAAAATGAAATGGAAAGAATGGAAGGCCAGGTTGAGAGGGAGAAAGGAAAAAAGCTAGAATAAGATAAAAGGAATGCTCAAAATGGTGTCTTTGTTTTCCTTTCTTTCCCAGAATTGTCTTGGGGCTTCATTTGAAAATCTAATTTATTTGGAAGTATTAGAGCTTGTATTTTTCAGTTAGCTGTTATAGTGCAAAGGAGAAAAACATGAAAAATAATCACAAAGAACAAGATAATGGCTGACTTGGAAGAGCAAACAAAACTTCAAGTTTTTTGAGTGGTAGGGAATTATGCAGTGACCTATAGTGTCTGGAGTTAAGAGGAAAGCTTTTTTACATTTATCTTTCTCCTGTCTATCTCCTGGTAGTTTAGTGTCAGATGGCTACAGGTATAACCCTTTTCCTTGGGAGCGACAGTATTTCCAGCAGCACAATATAACCATTTGGTTTCTACTTGACTCTCCTAAGAGATACAGAAAGTTCCAAATTCCAAGCTTCACTTATATATTAGCTTCTGCTTCTAAAATTTTAAATCCCATTCTAATTAAATTATACTTGGCCCATGACTAGAAATATAATTCCAATTGATAGATAAGGTACAAAGATAAAAGTTGATGTACCTAAAAACAGGTCAATTTTGAAGGACAGAAACAGGAATCTGGACACAAATAAATGAGCTTGTTAAGTTGTAGTGGTGTTTATAAAAGTTGGGAATCCTTACCCTTTATGGTGAGGGAAAAACTTCCCTTTTGGGGTAGGGTTGAGGGGACTGTCGGAAGAATAAAATTATATCCCGACTACCCACAGAATTCAGTGGGCACTATCGAAAGATGTAAGCAATGGATGAACTCCTTGTTTATTAACAGAATTTACAGATTAACAAATGACTTTGTTTTAGTTGGCAAAGTACTTCAATAATATTTACCCAATGCCCACAGAAAGTCAGACAGCTGATGTAATTAAAGGAGTTCTCAAGTTACGCTTCTGACACATCTGTCCTCTGTAGGTGCTGCCCATGCTGCTGTGCATCCCAGAGCAGGCAGTCACCAACACTGCGCCTGCAGTATCCAGTGTATATTCTGGTCTGCATTTCCTTAGGTCATTCCTTGGCCCAGTGTGAACAGAGCTGCAGTGGGAGTCGGAGGAAGTGCCATGGAGCTGGTGTAACCAGTTCTGCCTCCTCCATCACCTCTCTCCACACCACCACTGACTCTCCTTGTGACTCGAAGAGCCCTTTGGCACCATCAGTGCAAAAACTTAAGAGTCAAACCTCCAGGTACTATTATTTTACTGGCCTTATAATCAGCAGTACCCGTGGCTAGCGACAGCCATGGTTCAACTCAGTAGTGATTCAGTTTAGATTCCTTCCCAAACGCCTTACCCACCCACCCCGCCCTTCCTCAGCAACCCCACCAACCCCACCGCCACAGAAGCACTTCCATTTGTTTGTTCTTACTTCCTGCTCAATCTGCAGGGATGGTTTTACACAAGTGCCAAAGTCTAATGTATAGTTATAAAAATGAAATAATACCAAGAATAACAACTTTATAATCAAGAAAATAAAAAATTTCCTTTTTTCCCTCCCAAATCCCATCCCTCAATAGAAAAGACGATAGAAGAAAATACACCCATTTTCAAGTGCCTGCTATTTAGTATATTGAGGATTCTTGTTAATTGAGGGTGGATCCCAGCAAGAAAATTCCTGCCTCAGGGTGGGGGGCCCACATACTCTCGGTCAGCTGGGCAGCATTATCTTGAGTCCTCCGCACCTATGGGCTACAGAGCACACCATGCCTTTAATTAAAGTCACCCTCAGAAAAGCAGCGTTCTGGGCAGCAGAGGGCATGGCACAGACTTCAGTGAAGGTGAGATGTTTCTCCTCCTTTCCCTCCTCGCTTCCTCTTTTGTATCACTTCTCTACCAACTTTCTCATACCCCATCCTGACCTCTGCTTGAGGAGCAATTAATTGATCCTTGGGTGTACTAAATACAAAAGGCTAAGACTCTCACTACTTAAAATAAAACAAGGCAAATAAAAGTTAAAATGTGCTTTCAAATATGGAATGAGTCAAATAAATACATCTGATTTCTCTTTTTTTATGCCTAAGTACAATTTCATATACTACACCCAAAGCTCTATACATTTGGTTTTTGTTCTGAATCAAAATGACTTCCCAGCAGTGAGGCGAGGAGAGTGAGGGATGGCCACTCCCTCACTGACAGACCGGTGCCACTGCCAGACTGTGAAGAACTAGTCCCGCTCTGGCACCTTGGGACACGGTTAATCCCTGGTGGTTCTTAGGCAGGTCCTCTAGCACACTATCTCTGCGTCCACACTGCAGCCAGGATGTGGTTGATACAAGGCCGATGCTCAAAATCCAACAACCTGCAGTCACCTCCAGGACACTCGGCTCTAACTTTTATCTGAGAAGAATAAAAATATATGCAAACTGGGTTAAGAACAAATGAAAATGCAAAAAAAGACCAACAAACTACAAAATTCAAAAAAAAAAAGTATGAAATCTGCAGGCATAGTTAGGTGCTTGTTTCTGAATCAGAACAGTGCCACTGGAAAGTATCCCGGTTAATGACCTGAACTGTGGCAGTAAACACAGACACGCGCAGTCCAAGGGAGACACTGGCTTCATGGTCAGGACAGGTACTGAAGCAGAGCAGGAACCGAGGAGGACCAGTCCTCCTCACTAGGGAGTCACAGCAGCATCAGCACACCACACACTGAATTTACGATTTATCAGGTGTCCTGATGCTCATGCTTTTGGAAACTTGAAGAGCAAGAGAAAAGAGGGGCAGCACGGGAACTGACAACTGCAGTTCTTCTGAGAGAAAGAAGAGCAGAGTCAGCAGACAAGAGCTTTTGCTTGATATATGATGTTTAGAAACACAGAGTTTTTAAAGACAGAGAAGAAATGGAATTTCTTTTTAAAGAAATTCATTTTTCATTTTAAAGAATTTCATTTTAAAGAATAATAAATCAAATTATTCAGTGCACTGTTTTAGCAGGATGATTCTAGAGTCAGAGGCTCGCAGTTTCACATACCTGAGTGCTTGTCTGTGAGGGCTGATCCAGCCAGCCTTTGGCACAGAAGGGTGTAGCTTTCCTCCACCTTCTGCAAAATAAAACCCACAGGCTTTTCATTTGGACAGAATAAGAAAACAAAAAACTGTTCAAAGTAGGAGACAAGGCATTTTTATACTATAGGTACATGTACCCAAATTTCAACATTAACATTAACCATTAATAATTTTCTTAATGTATAGAGGAAAAATAAATTTCCTTTTCTTATCTCTTCTTGGAATAGCTTCAAATGCTCCCAAGAAAAAAAAAGTGTGTGTGTGTGTGTGTGTGTGTGTGTGTGTGTGGTGGCAGGAAAGGCAATTCCTCTACCCCAGGAGTCACCTAAATAGGGCCGGCCTCATGTCGCATGGCATGAACTACATGACCGCCAACCTGTACACAACGCCCTTCTGGCTACTTCATTTCATCAGCACAGGATGATACTACATATGGTCATATGAGAATCTATTATATGATGTTTAAAATATTAAGGGTGAACAATCTTTAGCTAAAAGATGAAAAACACACTTTTAAACCAGTCCCCAAAGCATTCCAACTAAATAATGTGATAAAAAAAAAAAATGTGAGCTCTAGCAGTGTCTACTGAAGGACAACTTTTAGTAGGGTCCTTTTCTTCAAAACTGCCACACAAGTCTTTTTTTAAACAGTGACATCTTCCATTACCAATTTATAAAACATTCCACTCAAGCCTAAGTTTTTGGACTGCAGGATCCTTTGAAGCCAATTTCTATCTGCCATGACACCTAGGAAACTATTAGCATTTCCTAATGAGTCACAGATTACTACTAGGTTATAGCAAGTCATAGCATTTCGCAGCCTAAATTGACAACTATACCAAGGTTCACTTGTTGTTTATGTCATCTGATGGCTGCCTGAGCATTTATAAAACCCTTTTTTTGCTCTTTGAGACAGGGTCTCTTTATGCAGTTCAGGTTGCTCTTGAACTATGCAGCCCAGGCTAGGCTGGAACTCAGAATTCTCCTGCCTCTGCCTCCCAAGTGCTGGGGTTATCAGTCATTTTTACATTCTTAAAGTTATAAACATACATAGATAATTACAGAGCTACAACTTCTTCTCTGCTTTATATGTCACAAGATAAACAGTGTGAATCTTAGCTTTTTATTTAAGTTTATTATGAATAATGATCAAAAAAACCTATTAAAAACCAAAATCTGGACAAGTCTACCAGTATCAGCATTTTAGTATTCCATAGTTTTGTTCTACTAAATTTGTTTCTTATGATTAAGTACTATGGATGTGCAAGTGTATGGTACCTTTAAGTGCTCAAGGTCAGCCTCTATCTTATGAATGTACTCCATGATCTGGCTTTGAGAATCTGCACAAGAGGAGGGAGTCTGGATCTCAAAACAGGAATCTTCCATAGCTCCCCAGCGTCGCTGGAGCAGGAATTCTGGGATGAATGGTGACCCTGCCCCATCAGAATGAGCGCTCTGAGGAGAATACTGTTCCTGGTAGGCAGAGTCCATGGAGGGGAGGCCTGCCACAGGCTGCAGGAGAAATGAGGAAGCAGCTTCCTCATCCGTGGAGCTCTCCTGCACTGTGTCATAGCCATCAAGGATCAAGCAATTTCCTATTGATGAAGACAGAATAAATAGGCTTATATGCTGATAACTGGAAAAGCTACTACAAGAAAGAAAATTCATTAATTCCAAAGTTTTAAGTCTATCAGAATTTTCTCACTTTAGGTTAAAGTTAAACTTGGTAAACTTTCATGGTAACTCCTAAATAATTTCACACTGGTTAGCATCTCAAAAGTTCAAAGCTGGAAATCTGAAAGCCCCTATATGATCTGCCACCACTCACTCCCCTACCAATTACCTTGCTTATGGCCCCTCCTGCTCTCTCCCACTCTGCTTTCTCCTGCCACAAAGAGCTTGCTCGTGACACGTGGTTGTCCTCTGCTCTCGCTGAGACATGCTCCCATGCTCCCAGGCATCCACAGGGATCTCTGCTCAGCAAAGGTCTACTTCCCTGAAATCCCTGACTGCCTTCATATCACTCTCTGCCCCTGGAGTCAACTTACTTTCTTGCTAATACTGACATTTGTTTGTTTTCTTATTATTACCCTAAGGATTGTTACGATTCTTGAGATTAGGGAATTTTTTGCATTTTATTAATTCTCTGTTTCCCAGACTCCAAGATGAGGCCTGGGATATAGCAGATCCAGTAACTTATTGTATGAAGGAATACATTAATACTATAGACACAGAGACATACACACAAACAGTGCTTAGATACTGAAACAATATTCACCCCAGAACACAGTACAGTTAACAATGACCGAAATAAAAATTTAAACATAATGAAACTTGCCTGAGATGTGTAAATTAACATCCTTCTCTTCCTTTTTAATTGCTCCATCACCTTCTGATGGATTATCATCGCTATGTGCTTCACGGGCATCAAAAAAGTGCTCTCCACTCTCATCCAGACCCCCTTCTGGTTCTGTGGTAGATACCTCTGGGGTCAGAATCATGTGGTCCATTACTAAAATGTTACTTGTCTGGCTATCTTGGGATGCCAGTACCACTGAATCCGGTGGAGCAGAAGATTCAGTTGAAGTTCGTGAACTGTTACAACCTGCACTGTCACCAGCTCCAGTTCTAAAGGGGACCTGTCCTTCGGCAGAATGACAGACCTTAGTATTTTCAGAGTTCTGGATCCCACTGTCGGCCTGAGCCTCTTGAGGGGCTGTCCTGTATCTGGAGAACTGCCGCCAGTCTTCCTGACTGCTCTTCTCAGTCAAACCCAGCTGCTGCACCAGTAACTGCTTCAACAAACCCACTAACAAGTCAGGGCAAGGAACAAAAGAAGAAAAAAAAAAAGAGCAAAAGGAGAAAGAAAAGCACATTCAGATTGCCAAGATTAGCTGAGTTGACAATCAACTTTAAACTACATATCTTTTGAGAATATAATAAAAATTTTAATCTTGTATCTTTTTCTTTTTCCAGTACTGGTAACTGAACCCAGACTGTCACACATGCTAGGCAAGCATTCTAGCACTGAACTACATCCCTAGTCCCAAATACTCATACAATCACTGATTTTGAAAAATGAAATGAAATCTTCTAGAAAACATTTAACATTAAACTAGAGCTGACAAGAGTTAAGCATGTTAAGTGGGTAAGTACTCCTCTGTTTAGAATCCCAAATCCCAACACCATGCCATATTTAATTTTCTGTGTAATTGAAATAGCAGTCTAAAGGGATGTAAGGATGCTAAAAGCTTATGTTAAGCTACACAAAAAAGCTAGTGTTTTCTAGAAGCAAACACTGTAGGTATTGGCATTTCCCCACATTTTGATTAGACATATAGAATACTTAATCATTTATAGTAACTCAAGAATCTCCTAAAATGGTGGAGAGAATAAAACTGCCTTGTAATAAAATTTAATTTCAGTGATTGGTAGTAATATACATACTCTCTGCCAGGGGTTTAGCTTAGCAGCATAAGTGCCTGCCTGGCAAACGCGAGGTCGTGAGTTCGATCCCCAGTATGAAAAAAAAAAAAAAACTTTTAAACAACAAATATATATATATATTCTCAAAAATGAGGAGATATTCACCAGTATTTTAACTCTTTTTTTTTTTTGTCTTTTTTTTTATCGGTACCGGGGATCGAACTCACGACCACACACAAGGCAGGCGCTTATGCCACTGAACTAAATCCCTAGCCCCATTCACCAGTATTTTAAAAAATAACTACCTTACTGGTGGCACAGCTTCTTTAGCTTGTTGAAAATAAGAACCAGTTAAACTTCAAATGAGCTAAATTCATGCTGAGGTCACTTACCCAGTGACACTGCTCTAGGATAACACAGTCAAACCATCAGAAATCACTAAGTCTATTAATTCAAGAAAATCTAGAAAAGATAGATTTTTAAACAACCAACTCCTTAATATCATCTCAGGCTTAATTTGTAACTTACATTTCTTTAGGTAAACAGTTTCTACATAGGTCTGAGTGTCTGATCCTCTGTCTTTCTGTTCTACATTCACTTAAAGAGAGATGCCATGAATCTTTATGGATTTGGCACTCAAATTTCTCTTTCTAATCTTGTCAGTCCTAAAATTCCAACTTTCTGCTACTCACTTCCTCTTGCATGGGTTGTCCTTCATTATCTTAATCTTGACATGTTTTAAAATGGAAAGTAAGCTGAGACTTTAGCTCAGCAGCATAAGCACCTGCAAGTGAGAGGTCATAAAAGTTCGATCCCTGGTACCAAAACAAAAACAAACAAAAGGTAGGGGAGGCAGCAGTGGTCCATTCTGACTCTTATTTCCAACAAGAATACTGAAATTATCTCTAGATATTCCTTTTCCTTTGCCCTCATGTCCAGATAAGTCAACTGTTCTAAATATGTGATGACTCTTTTTTTGATTGCAAAATCATCCTAGTCTAAACCCTTGCAATACTGAACCCAGACCACTATGATAACGCACTAAGTGCAGGCCTCTTTCCATTAAAATCCTTATTCAGCCCTCAGCTAGAATAATCTTTTTTCATTAGTCATGCCCTAGCTTTAAAACCTCTAGTGGATTTCTATAGCTGGAGCAAATGTTTTCAGACTTTTCCCTACTTCATTACACCTAAAGATATGCTGCTCCCATGTTTGCTAGTGATTCTGAACTAGGCTACAGGGAAGGAGGGAGCTAACAGAGAGTCTGTGTGCAAACTGAGCTCTGGCAGAAATATTATGATGTCCAAAAGAGAATTAGAGGACACACGTAGTTCTGAAAAGGCTCTTAACACTGACATGTACTCCAGAGCCCACCGTCTCGCATTTAAAGCTCGCCACCGCGGGGCTGAGTGTATCTTCTATCTTCCCAGCTTTCCACACTGTTTTCACTCACAGCGTCCACCACAGCCTCACTGCTCTCTGAACAGTACCCTTTATCTCACTGTCTCTGTTTTTGGTCCTATCATTATTCTTGCCTGAATGACTTCTGTTCTTCTACAAATCTGTTTGAATCTTACCCTTCCTTCAAGAGAATAATCGTATCTCCCTGGTTCTCAATGTCTCCTTCCTCGGATCACCCCAATCCATAACACTGTCTCAAAGGTGGGGTGGGACGGGTAGGAGTTTCTAGCATCTTCCTCACTAGAATATAAATTTCTTGAAGGGAAAATTGTAGCACAAACTTCTTTAGAATTCTCCTAAATGACACTTCAGTGTATTACACAACTCGTGGACTTATTAAGTATCTGCAGTGCCAGAGGTGGTGGTGATGCCTATCATCCCAGCACCTGGGAGGCTGAGGCAAGACGAACACCGTGAGTATGAGCTAGCTGTTTTACACAGTGAGTTCAAGGACAGCCTGAGCAACTACATGGTGAGATCTTGTCTCAAAAAAAAAAAAAAAGTAATGAGTTAGAGATAAAACTTACGATTCCTTAGTGCATCCAAAGCCCAGCGTTCTTCTGAGACAGGTAAGTGTGGGTCTGGGATTGCGATCTGATAGTTTTCTCCACCCTCCTTTAGCGTCCCATCTGCGTGCTGCTCCTTTGCAAACTGTCTCTCAGCCACAAAGAGATCGACGGCCTCTGATTTTTCAGAAGTACTCAGTGAATGAGTCTGAGGTTTTGATGATATTAAAGGAGAGTCTAATCCCAAATCTCTGTCTATTCAGTGGAATGGAAAAGGCAGAGTATATCTTAACAAAACTTTAAGCTTTTACAATGAACATTCAAGAAATACTTAAAAATAATAACCACCTAAGCTATGGTGATCTTCTGCTGTGAAGTAAAACATATGACACTAAGGGTAGTGTTATACTGACACACAGCAGGCTCCAAAACGGTTTCTTAAATAGTACAGCTGATGCTAGAACCTGTAGAAACCAAAAGTTTCAAAGTTTCTTTGCATTTAAGTAGATAGAAAACTTATTTTTGATACTTAACCTGGACTCTGTAGATTAGTGACTGAAATGCCATGATGTTCCACTTTTGGAGATTCTTCTTCGTCATTGTCTCCTCTGTAGAAGAAAAAGATCTTTGAGCTTCATGACATGTCCAAACTTTGTTACAACCCAACAGAAGAATAATCAATTTCTTTTCTGACAAAAACCACAAAATTCTATAATACAACAGTCCTGTTATGACACAAAGTAACACTCACTCGCAAGGTGGTGACTGTAACGGAATCACTGGCTTTGTGGACTGCTCCTTCACTGATGTAGCCATTCGACAGATTAGGTCTTGCCAGCTTCAGGAAGTTTGAAAGGGAACCCAAATTATAAAACAAAGAAAAAAAAAAGAAATACTCTTTAAATACACTGAGAAAGCAAAAACCAAAAACAATCCCCCCAAAACACAAAACAGAAAACAATTCTGCCTGAATTGGTGACATAAGACTAGGCAGAGATTGTAAAGTGATAAAGAAAAATATAACAACATTACAGATATACTGCTCATTTAAAAAATTCACTTGAAACTTTTGAGAATTTTCTCTGTAGAAAATTTCTTTTTTAATCTAAAAGGGCAAAAGTCTGTAGGGGACTATCTCTAAAAGGATAGAGAAGAAGGTACCTGGTGACTATATTGTTTGTGATTTTCAAAGTCTTATAAAAGAAAGTTAAATTTGTGTAATATTACACGAGATGATAAAACTATTAATGACAGCAAGGTAGGTAATACATACACAGTCTTTTCAGAAACTGTCTGTGCCACCAGTTCATAAATTTGGGCCCCATTATCCGACATGGAGATGACAAATAAAGCTTTGTTATCTGAAGAAAAAAAATACAAAGTTTATCTTATCACTCTGATATACAGAGTTCATGTGTGTTACTTCTAGGGTACTGTTAATATTCCTCATCTAAGGGGCTGGGGATTTAGCTCAGCGGCATAAACACCTGCCTTGCAAGCAGGCAGTCGTGAGTTCGATCCCCGGTACCGATAAAAAGGAAAAAGACGAAAAAAAAAAAAAAAAAAAAAATCCTCATCTAAATTCAGATAAAATTTGCATATGTTTACTTCCTAAAAATTCATGAAGCTGTATACTGAAATGTTGCATCATGTTATACTATATATGGTATATTTCAATAAAATGAAGATTGTAAAAAGTAATACTATTTCACTGTAGATCAGAAGCAACAGGTCAAAGTCCAAGATACTTGGGGTGGCAGTCAACTTGTAATACCAGCTGAACTGAATCAGCGTGGTACTGAGCGTGGATGGCCCATCTGAAGGATTGTTGCAAACATTAAAGGAGAACTGGGGAAGAAGTGTTGCTGTTTGATGCTGTCGGTGCTCCTGTTGCCTCTTGCTCTCCTGAGAAACTTGTCAAGATTGTTTCCTGGTATGAACTTAGGTGTTCTTATTGTCAGAGAAGCTCAGGACCTTGTTGTTGCTGAGATTGGCTGTGGTTCACTTCAGGAGAGCTCTGATCTTTACGAGGCTTCCTGATTCCTGAAGGGAAGATGGTGTACTGCTCAATCTCCAGGAGAAGCTTATCACACTGTCTTCCTGATATGAACTCATCTGTCCTTATCGTTGAAGGAGCTTGAGACCTCAGTGTTGTTGAGGATGGCTGTGATGGTTTTCAGGGGAGCTCTGGTTCTTACTTTGAGCATTATTTCCGAGTTCCATTGCACAACTCTCAGCCTGCCGGCACAGGACCCTTTCTCCCGCTGGCACACATTTTCTAACTTCTACCACTGACATTGGGGCCTTCCCAGCACAGACCCATGAAAAAGACTTGCCTGAGTCACTGTTATGGGCTGTAGGCCTCTAGCTGGACTTCTGGGAGGCATTGTCATTGGCACTGGGTCTTCAGCTGAACTCATGCAGGTTACTGCCATGGGCTCCAGACCCTCAGCTGGATTCTCTAGGTCTTTAGTGTATGGACAGATTTCCTGCACTTTTCATGTTTGAATCTTTGGGTGACTATTATAAAATAAATACGTAAATTATGTGTCCTTGTTCTCCTTGTAATCCTTGACTACAACAACATTGAACTGGGTATTATTATTCCTTTGTATCTCTTTTGAACTAACTTCTGCTAAACTGTTAGTTAACTTTTTTTTTTTCTTTTTTTTTTAGTGGTACCAGGGATTGAACTTACGAACTCACACTTGCCAGGCAGGTGCTTAAGCCACTGAGCAAAATTTTGGCCCCTGCAAAAACTCTCAAATGCAGAAAATGACTCAGAAGTGTGGGTGTGGTAGCACACACCTGTAAACCCAGCACTCGGGGAGGCTGAGGTAGGAGGATCATTGCAAATTTAAGGTCATCCTGGGCTACAAGGTAAGCTCAAGACCAGCCTAAACTACATAGTGAGAACCTGTTTTGAAAACAGCCCCACCCCTACCAAAAAAAAAGAAAAGAAAATGACTCAGAGAATTGAAGCATCTTAAATATTGTGGAGGTATAAATTCTTAATCTATTTTAAAAAATGTTTTATTTCCTTTTGCTTTTCATTTTAAAGAAAGGGTCTCACTATATAGTATAGTTACCTGGAACTTGCTACATAGCTGTAGTGGCCTCTTATCCCAGTCTCTCAAGTGCTGGGATTATAGGCATATGCCACCACACTTAGCTCAATTCAGTTTTAATAAATTTCACGTCGGGGGCCAGGGATTTAGTTCAGTGGCATAAATGCCTGCCGTACCAAAAAATTCCCCCCAAAAAACAAAGAAAATAAACTTCACATAATTTGCCTAAGTATAAAAAGAAACAAAAGTCTACCAGTTGTGCTACATAAGCAACACTGAGTACCTGACAGAGCTACACGCTGCGTCTGAAGGTTAGCACCCTCCAGTAAACATACTTGCCTGTTGCCACTTGTCGAACCAACACTGTATTCAGTTTAATGACAGGACTGAATGTGTGTTTGCTGTCAGCTGTAGATGCCAGAATCTTACTATGGCACCTTAACACCAGTTTATCATCTTGCTTTTGTAACAATACCAGAATATCTTCCAGCAATAACGTATACAGATCTAGAAATAAAAATACAGAAAAGGTGGGAAGTACAGAAATTGAAATGTATTTTTTTAACAATTTGATGGAGCAATTTTACATCTTTAAATCTAATAATTTAAAAACTGATTTCATTTATTTTTATTGTCAGTTTGTGACCAATAAGAATTAAAAACAATAGTCCCTCACCAAAGATAGTTGAGAGTTACTGGCTTAAAGAAAATTTACTACAATGACTCACAGAAACAGGAGTGATTAATGACAAAGTTTTCTGCTAAATTCCTAAATAAATATTTAATACTTTAGATAAAGCAAAATAACAGAAGCAGATTTTCTATAATTATCTAAATAGATCAAAGTAGCACTGCTAACTACAGTACTGCAAATTGTGAATGGGTTTTTCTTTTCTGTCTGGCAAAAAGGAATTTTCCTATTCTTTCCCTTTTTCCACTCTCCCCAAAATCTGACAAACAAATCAGACTTACCAATAGTCTTGTCTCTATTCACCTTCCAAACCAATGGCCCTTCATGAATCATCTTCCTTTTTGTTAAATCTAAATTCTGCCAAAGAGTATTGCACTCAGTGAGATGATTTGCAAGCACTCAGTAAGATGATTTTCCATAAAATTTGATCTCTTTTCAAAACATTCTTAATATAAAATACCACTTACATTCAACTATTATTGCAATCTGTTTTGAAAGTAGAATAAAGTAACCTGCAAAAAATCTTTTAAAAAAGAAAAAGCATCTTGCAGAAAAACATTCCAGAGTACCATCTTCCAAATCTCACTCGAAATAGATGATAATAGCTTGTGAAAATGAAGCTACAAACCCTCAGCCACTACATTCCCAACCCATGCCTTAGATCAGGAAGATGCACCATGTGGCTTTATCTATAAGAGGCTTCTGCATCTTGTAGTTCTAATTCTAAAGGAAGTTGTAAAGAACAGCATTCAACATAAAAAGTTCAATGCTTACTCTTCATGCCAATAAATTATTTGTAAGAAAATCTTTTTCTTTTTAGCATAAGTAGCACTAGGAAAACCTCAGTCTTTGGAAATTAACAGGATACATTCCTAATGTTCTCTCCCCTCCCCATATCTGGGGATTGAACTCAGTCAGCACCTTGACCTTGAGCTACATCCCCTGCACATTTTTATTGTTTGAGACAAAGTCTGGCTAAGTCATTAAGTTGTCCAGGCCAGACCCAAAATTTTGATCTCCCTGTGACAGTGCTAATGATATAGGCAGGCACCACGAGCAGCTGTTTAGCACTTAGCATGCTTTTTTTAAAATAAAATGTTACTCAGGAGATAGAAATTTATTTTAAAAAGACACCAAATCTGCCAGAACAACTACCTAGAAAAATGGTGTAAGAAACTTAAAATGCTAAAAAGTTTATGATACAAAGCCCAAGTACAAGAAGTGGAATTAGTAAATATTTTACTATCATTCTTGTAACAATTTCAACTTTTTATGATTCTCAAGAACTTCAGGGAAAAAGAATTTCTTTATTTGTGATATAGAAAGTGCTGGTAGTAAACAGCAACAGGACACAGTAAAATTAAATTTACTAATGACCAGTGTTTGTTAGTTTCCTGACAGATACTGTCATGTAATGTTAGCTTCTCACAAAATATTATTCTAACAAGACAAAAGTAACCATCATACAGGTAAGACATATAAAGTCAGAATAAAATCATAAATATAAACAATATGATATAGAACTCCTTCAGATGATGGATATTCCCACTGAGATATTAATAATCTGCAATCGTTAGTATATTTTACTTTTTAAAATGATGACTAGACCTTCTCTTACCCTGAGCTCCTCGACATTTGGATACTCTGACAACTTCAGATTGGAGGTATCAAGGCGGCGCTGATAATCTTCTAAGCGCTGAAAAGCAGGTAAGATGGAGTCGTGGTTATTGCTTTGCCCATGAAAATCTGTTTCTGAATCACGGACATTTTTAAATCTGCATTTTACTGAGTTTGCTGAGATATCCAGCTTGACTAATAACACACTTTCTTAAATATCACCTCTTTGGTTATGGTGATATTACCTTCTAGTTTTTTCTTTTTTGTGGTCCCTTCTCAATCCTCTTTTCAAATTCTGGCTCCAAACTGCTTATATTCACTTTCTAAATATGTATATCAGTTACAGAGTACAACATTCAGGAGGTAATATAAAGCATGCAATAAAAAGTCTCCTTCCAATTTTCCACAATCTTCTCTAAAGGAATCACTAAGATTCATTTCTTATGTAAACAGAATGTATCCATATTCGAGTACACTGATCTCTAGTGTGCTGAAAAGTGTTGAAAAGGGGGATTGTAAAATGGCGGCAAGCTAGGTGATCGAGCGAAGAATCTCTCCAGAGAATTCAAACTCAAAGATAAAAAAAGACAGCATGGAGAGGACCAGACAAATCAATAGCGATTCTTATTAACCAAGACAGTACAACTGGAGGATTTAAAGTCGTGCTGAGACTGGAGGCTACAAATCCCGCGCCCTTGAATCAACAAACAGACTCATGGACCCAGCACGAAAAGCTGAGTTGCTTTTGGAGACCGCAGGAAACTGAGACCCAGATCGAGACTCCAAGTAGCAGCCAGTTCGAGACTCCAAGTAGCACCAGAGCGGATGTACAAAGCTCTGGCGATTCAAATCTAAACGGTGCACAGAAATCTGACCGGTCAGCGCTGAGCCGCGAGTGGGGGAAAAGTGGACAGCTTGGTGTGCGGCGGTCCTGGAACAAGGACTTGCACCGGACCCTGGTGAGTACAGAAAACCCCGGCCGCTGCTGGGTTTGACCAGAGAACAGCTGGCCCGCCACCAAGGGGAAATCAATAACACAGAATCTGGTGCAGACATATTAGCCTGGCGGCAGATATCGCAGCTTAGTGACACCACCAGGTCGCCCTGTAGGGAGGGCTGGTGGAAGACATCTTAAGTCCTGGCAGAGCCTGATTACTTGTTGGCTTCAGCTCCACACAGAGAACTTAGTGAGAGCCATCTTTGTTTTGGGCAGATCTGCTTTTCTGGTGCACCTATCACAGAGAGGTTTAGAAGAGAACGGCTGGGACCTGGGCAGAATCCTGTGCCATTACCCAGCTGCTTCTGATTCAAAGAGAACTGGCAGGAGCTACTGGGGCTAAACCAAGCCTCTGCTTGGGGCCCAATAAGCAGATACAAAATAGTCACAACTCAGTGACAACCAGAAAGTACAGCCTAATTTATGAACTAACTGACACAGAGGCTAGAGACTAGACTGTACCGCCCCTACATCCCAGCCTTCCCCAGATAACAGCAAATTGGGGAGGACAGCAAAAACTCAAGCCAGCACGCTTCTGAAAGGCCCTAAGCAATTCGGAGAGGGCCAGAGAACTCCAGGACAGTCTGAAAGAAACCAGAAACATGACAAGAGATAAAAATAAAAAAAAACCTCCAGCTGTTCAACAGGAGAAATTAAACCCAAGAGAACTAAACACTGAAGAGAACAAGCACAGTAACCATCCTCTACTCGACACAGCATCAGCCGAAATTAAAAAGTACTTACATGATCTCATAGAGGAATTCAAAGATGTACTCCTGATCCAAGTGAGGCAAGATATAAAGAGATTAATTAAAGAAATGACAAGCCCTGCCCAAGAGAACACAGATGGAAGAACTGAGGAAATCAGAAAAGAAAGAGAAGCATCTGAAGAAGAATTTAAGCATAATTTAGAATACATGAAACAGATCCAAAGAGAATATCAGGAAACTCAGAACTCCATTGAATATTGGCAAAATGCCTTGACAGAAACTAAAGACAACCTTCTGAAACTTGAAGAGAGATTTAGGGCTTATGAACGTGAAAGAAAAAGCCTCTTAAAAATAACAAGGAACCAGAAAGAAGCAATTCTAAAACTGGAAGATGATAAAAAGATACATAACCTAAGGATAAAGAATGTGAGTGAGGAAGCAGGAACATCCAAAAATGAAATACAAAAAATATTCACAGAGATATTAAAGCAAAATTTCCCACGTATAGCAAAAAGAAATGATATCCAGATAAAAGAAGCATACAGAACGCCAGCTACCTACAACCAAAACAGATCTACGCCTAGGCATATAATAATCGAGATCCCAGAAATCCACCAAAAAAACAATATTAAAAGCAGCCAGAGAAAGGATGCAGGTTACCTATAATGGGAAATCTATCAAAATAACAGCAGACTTATCATCACAAACTCTTAAGTCAAGAAGGGAGTGGGGAGAAATATTCCAAGTCCTGAAGGAAAAAAATATGCAACCTAAGTTCATATATCCGTCAAAACTCTCTCTAAAAATTAATGAAGAAATAAGATACTTTCAAGACAAGGAGGAACTGTGGGAGTTCGTGGCCACCAATCCAACCCTACAGAGAGCGCTGAAGGACATTACAGAGAAAGAGAGGAAGAGATATCAGGATTACAGCTACAGTGGCAGAGAAGCCTCAGTGAACGGTGCAGACCATGGAATGAGGGAATAAGGTGGACAAATTATAGCAGAAAAGTGGAGTAGCAGACATGAGGCAGAGACGGTAAGCTAGTCTTTGGTAGAGACAGCTCTGAAACTATATTTAAAAAAAAAAAGCAGAGGTCATTGCTAATGGTGTATAACGATTTAAAAGACACAGTAGTTCTAGTGACATATTTAGATTGAATTAAATTTGTTCTGGTCTGTCCACTCATATCAGATTTGAGGACACAGACCTCTAGAACCAAAAATAGCAGGTTATACCTCGGCAACTATCCTTACTTTCCTATTGACTTAGGCTGAAATTCTGTATTACTTACATTGTCTTACTATGACTGATCTTAATTGTATCTGAAACATAAGACTATTGGTTGGCCTTGACTGATCCTATTAGAAATCGGTATGCGTGTTAGAATCAACCCTAAAAGTAGAGGAAACTACTCTGAGCATGACAAGATGTAAAGGATATCCATACTGGTATGAATCAGTAACAGCTCTCAAATACTACAATGCAGTCAAAGATAAGTTTTTATAAAAATAGGTGATAGTATGTTTAACTATAATAAGCCAGTGTTGTCGACAAATCTATTGAAAATAACAAGAGAAAACATAGTAGCTACGGAAGATCATTTATATTATAGTTTTATAAGTCCTATCCATTGCATGATTATCTAGGAAATTGTTTCGTTATCTTGTTATGACTTGGTTTTCCCTATAATACAGAGAGGATAGGAACAAATACTCTGAGGAAGAAACATGAAAAACCCGAGGCTTATTTTGTAGCATTATAATATAAATTCTAGCAATCTATTGCTTGCTGATTAAAATGACTCTGGACTGGTTTCTTCAGCTCAACTTCAGCATATGCAGAGATGGGGACGGCTATCACAAAGAGAATGAGAGATGCGATGGTAGTTGGTATTGTCTTCCCTAATTTGGAACTTGAGGACCTAAAAAGACTCCATCATCCTGTAATGATTTGATTAGTTCTATAATATGCAATAAGTATAGAAAGTGGGTGAAGTTAGGGACAACTATTTGTAAGAAGCTAGATAGATAAGGTAGATCTCCAGTGGACTTGCTTTGAAATCTGTATTTCTTTAAATTGTTTTTTTATTTTTTTTAAATGTTCTGTTCTGTTTTGATATGGTTAACCTTATCCTCTTAGAGATGTAAAACAAATAGGTGTGACTGATAATCATATTACAGAGCTTTTGTTCGGCCATAGAGCAGAATGGTTTGTAGGGTCATTTTTTTTTTGAATGTCATTCTATATACTTTAATTCTATAACCTGAACAGCCATTTCGAAGATGACAATTTGTAACTTATCAACTGGCAATTTCTTACCCTTTGTTTGTCTGTAATTTAGAATTATTTCTACCCTTTTTTTTTAATTTCCATGTATTTTTTTTCGTTTCCTTTTCTTTAAATAAAAATTTAAAAAAAAAAAAAAAAAAAAGTGTTGAAAAGGATACATGAATCCTTTTCAAACAACCTGAGGTAGCATTATGGGTTTCTATGGTATTCTTACATCCATTCCTCATCCAAATGGTAGATTAATAAATCCACATAAATCTTTCTGTGTGTGTGTGTGTGTGTGTGTGTGTATGAAAGGGGGGGAGAGAGAGAGAGAGAGAGAGAGAGAGAGAGAGAGAGAGAGAGAGAGAGAGAGAGAGACTGTTCCACATTAGGACATTTATAGACATGTCTAATTGTTTTTTAATAGTTATATAGTACTTAACATCTTAGTGACAGACAAATCAGTTAATTTCAAACTTCTCCAATAACAAACTCTACTAAGATGTCCTGTATACTTGTACAGATATAACTGTAGAATAAATTTCTAGAAGAACTGTTAAAGGCTTCAAAAACCATAAACATTTCTAAATACACAGAGAAGTTTGAATGTGTGTAATGAATACCCATCAGATACATCTATCACACACACATTGATATATTTAATTACATATCTATCCATCTATTCATCCTTCTACCTACCCAAACATCTTATTTTTTGTATACATTTTAAAAATAAATCACAGACCTAAGTACATTCTAACACTAAGTACTGCAGCATGTATATCATTAACAAGAGATCAATATCTGTTTATAGTTTTTTAAAGGTCAAAATCATGACTGGCCAGGCATATAACTCAGTGGCACAATGCCTGCCTAGCAAGTACAAGGTCCTGAGTTCAATTCCTGGTATCGAAAAAAAAAAAGAAAAGGTCAAAGTTACACACTGTGAAACGTATATTTTTAAAGTCTTTGTACAAATCTGGACATACGCATACATCTTGATAACTCAAACTCCTATCAAGATATGAAAATTACCAGAACATCCCAGAATATGTTCTTGTACTTCTTCCCAGTTAATCTCTATTCCCCCATCTTTACAGACAACCATTTTTCTAAGATTTTCCGCTACAGATGAGTTCAGCCTCTTGGAAGTTTACATAAGTAGAAGTATATGTTATTATTTTATGCCTGGTTTCTTTCACTCAGTGTATTAGTGAGAACCATTTCCTTTTATCACAAGTAGCATTCTATTTTATGATGATACCACAGTTGGTTTATCCACTTTCTTGCTGATAAATTGTTGGGCTGTGTCTAGCTTTTGGCTATTTTGAATAAAGCTGCCATAAACACTCTTGTATACATCTGTTTGTGGAAATAAATCTTCATTTATTCTAAGTAAAATCACTACAAATGGAATTGCTGGATCAAAAAGTAGAAGTAGGCCAGGGGTTTAGCTCAGTGATGTAAGTACCCGCTTGGTAAACGCAAGGTTGTGAGTTCAATCCCTGGTATCAAAAAAAAAAAGGAGAAGAGTGGCAAGTACATTTTCATTTAAACATTGCCAAATTTCCCTCTTGGATTTTATCGATACTCTAAACAATACATGTGAAAGTAACTATTTTTCTACAGTTTCCCTAACAGAGTCATTACATATTCAGTTCCTAAAACACGACACCCATTGTCCATGGGTTCAATATACCACTTATGTTCATAGGTTCGCAACCTTCTTTTTGTTGTTGCTGCTTTTGTTTGTTTTTGGTTTTGTTTTTTTGAGACAGGGTCTCGATATGCAGTTCAGGCTGATCATGAGCTCACAGTGATCCTCTTGCCTCAGCCTCCCAAGCGCTGGGAGAACAGGCATGGGCCCTTGGCCCAGTCACAATATTAAACTTCTGTCTTCAGACTAGTTCTCTTGAGGGTGGACCCATGCAGCTAACCGCTTCCTGCACATCTCCACCTGAAATCCCTAGCCAAACTCATCGTCTTCCCCCCAAGTCTGAAAGTCCATCCACATATGCAACCAGAAAGCTGGGGATTCATCTTGACACCACTTCCACTCAAAGCCTTCTCTGAGCCAAACACCAAGTCCTGCCAGTCTTACCCCCGGAATACTTCTCCAGGTTCTGCCATTCTCTAGTTGTACTGCCAACAGATTCATGACTAGGTTCTCCCATCCACTATCTTCACCTTTTAATCCACTCTCCAAAGAACAGTGTGAGTGCTACGGTGGAGCTGTGAACACCTTCAATGTCTATACTGAATTCCTACTGCTTTTAGAATAAAAATCAAGTCTTTAACATGGTGAAAAGGGCCTTGTATAATTTGGTTCTAATCTTAACTTACCTCTTTTTATGACACTGACACTTACTAAGCACATTCTACACTCATTTATATTTCAATTCCTCAAACAGGTCGTGCTTCTTTTGCATGACAGGACTTTTGTATGCAGTGGATCTTCTACCTCTGTGTTACTCACTTCCACACAGTTTAGGTTCAATTCTACTCACCCTTTAGAGCAGGCCTAAAATGTCAATTCTTGAAGGAAGTTTTTCTGATGACCACTACTTAACATCCCCAAACTCAACTAGGCCACCCAGTTAGATACTCACAGTATCCTGGAATTCTCTTTGATAGCAGTTATCGCAGCTGATGAGAAACACCTGCACTACAATTTGTTAAATGCCTTTCTATCCTACCAGAAAACAAGCTCAACATGGACAGTGAGTGGGCTCATTTTCACAACCACTCTAAATAGAACAGCATATGTTCTACAACTATCTGTTGAATGCACACAGTAATAAAAGCATAAACAAGCACCTAAAGATACTCAACACAAATACGCTCTGATATTCTATCACAAATGTATCTAGACTCAAATGTATCTGGCAAGTACATTTTCATTTAAACATTGCCAAATTTCTACATGAATAGCTAACAAATGTCCTGCCCATCAGTTATGTAATGACAACTTTAATTATTATTTCAGGTTCCAGATATTACTAACTTAATATTCTCATACCGCCCTGTACCTTCGTGGCTTACCTGCTTGTTTTCTGCCTCCTTGACAGCCTGATTGACATAGTTTAATATCTGACGACAGTGATCTGCCGCTTTCTTCACCTTTTCCCTTTCTGTTGGCCAGTCTAAACAAGGGAAATAAGCCCAAAACGTGAAATAAGAAAATCAGAAAAATACGCATAGGAAATTTCATTTTACTTCGACAGTTGTAAGTACATACTAAGACTCTAAATATTTTCCTATCAGTTAAAACCTATACCAGGGTCTTAACTCAGGAAGTCTCTGGACAGGTAAGACTTTGATGACTCCTATTTCCCCCCAAATGAGACCTAACTAGAGATAAAAACACCAACTCCACTCAGCCTCCCCTTGCCTCACTTGCCATTCCAGATAACTACTGTGCAGCACAACATCGATGCATCATCTTCGTCATGACATCGGCCATCACCTCAGTAATGAACAGCTTTTAATTATAGCTGAAGTTTATATTCCAGTTAGGTTTTACTTTTGGGAAAATACAGTAGTACTTTAAAACAATAGTTCTCATTTTTAAAAAGAAGCTATAGTATAGACCCCTAAATCCAGGAAGTTACAGAAAGTAATGAGGTCACAGTGTTACACATTCCAGGAAGCAAGTCTTATTCGCTATGTAAGATATACAAGTGGGTCCACTTTTTTTTTTCTTTTTTCTTTTTTTATCGGTACCGGGGATCGAACTCACGACTGCCTGCTTCCAAGGCAGGTGCTTAAGACGCTGAGCTAAATCCCCAGCCCCAAGTGGGTCCCATTTTTGTTTCTGGAATTTCACAGTACAGAGCTTACATAATGTCCAGTGAACCCATTAAACGATATTTTTTGAGTAACTCAGTTAAAAAATTCCAAAATAAGTTTCTCTGAATTTAAAATTGTATTTAAAAAAATAAACTGTAACATTTGTATCATTAAGATGAAGTTCACTGAAATACAATGAAGCTCTATGATCTAAAGAAGTCAGAACCAGAATATCCCAAATTATAATCCAGGGTATAAAACAGTACAGCCACACTGAGCAGATAAACTAAAAAAAATTAACATGCATAAATGTAAAACTACTTATTTTGCCACATACTGTAATTTTAAATTGCCTAGTTATGATTCAAATTCTCAGGCACTAGAAACAGCAGTTTGGTTGCATAATATTATTAATGAGAACTAAGTACAAGAGCCTAAAGCTCAACTGAGAAACTCAGATTCATCTCATGTTTCAAAACAGGAGAGCTGGAATTAGAAATGCATTTGTTTGCTTAATAAAAAAGTATGCATATTAATAATAGTAATATATCTATAAATAAAAATACAAAATATCTCTTCAGCCCAATATTAACCTTCCGCAACGAAAAAAATATATGCTAGGGCAAGCTTTTCCTACAAAGGCCTAGATGATAACTGTTTTACACTTTTCAGGCTAAATGGCCTCTGTTGTAACTATTTAACTCGGCCATTATAATGTAAAAAGTTGAAAAGACTTTTCAAAGGATGTAAATAGATGAATATGGCTGAGTTCTAATAAAACTTTATTTCCAAAAGCAAGCAGTGCCTGATTTGGTTCATGATCCAGTTTGCCACACTGTGTGTTATCAATGGAGTATATTAAATCAAACAGGCTGAAAAAGACTATATTATCTTGTTAGAAAATTCTGTCATACCATTTGGAAATCCAATTCTAGGCAGCAACATGACGGGATAGACTGGTTAGCAGGACATGCTTTTGTTTGGTGTTTACTTCTAGGTTTTTTAGTTCAGTGACAATGATATACCTGTGTATTTTGCAATATTATCCAAAAGAAGTGGGTACTTAGTAAGCCTCTGCATTTGAGTGGGAATGATATCCTTTAGCTGAAGACGACGACACAATGGATTACTTTCAGCATCCTGAAATTAAAGTGCAGTAAGTGAACCTACAGTTATTAGGACAGTAAGTATCTAACATGTACCATGTATTCAATTTTTTACAATACTAAGACAAATCTTTCCACATAATACGTCTCTTTCCTTTATTAATCACATTCTGGAGGAAGGCAGTCTTTAACACTGAACCAGTGACTTCTGCTACCTGTCTAAGCAAGGACAGAGCACCCATAAAGAATTCTAAGAACTGTTTTGCATGTGTGTTAAAACAGCTTTATCTTCCTCTGTTCAGCAAATCTAGGCACATTTTCTTGACTGGCATGCCTACCAAAAGTTAACAATTCATTGTATGTCATTCCAAGTAGACACAGTGGCTGCCAGTACAGATATGTTGGTTGATCTGTCAGAGGTCTCCAAACTTTTCAGTCACATTTGAGTTTGTAAATATTTAGGCTTTGAAGACCAAGAAAACTACTCAACTCTGCTGTCTAGCACAAAAATAGCCATAGACAATCCATAAATGAATGCATATGGTTCTGTTTATTTAAAAAAATACATTCTAAAATGGCCTAGAGACTCCCATCTTCTGGTGTGTACCTTCCATATAATCCCACACCACTAAGTGTGGGTGAAATCTGCAAGTATGAGAGAATGATAAGAAATCCTTCCTATATTAGTTTATCATCAGTTGACTGTGAGTTAATCAAAAAGCAAACTATCCTCGGTAGGCCGGATTTTCAGAGCAGCCTCTGAAAGAAAGAATCTGCGCCAGGGATGCATTCCTGCTAGTCAGAAATAAAGCAAATGTCTACCTGTAAATCACCTAAGCGGGCACAAAGATAAGGGCATTCCCTAGGAGCCAAGACTGGTTCCTTGACAACTAGCAGGAAGCTAGGGACCTGAGTTACGTATTTACAAGGATATTAATGCTTGTAATAACTAGGGATCTTAAGAGGCCCCAAGTCTCCAATGAGCACTGCAACTATAGCTGACACTTTGATTTCAACCTGGTAAAACTCTGAAGAAAAGGATCTAACTAAAATATAGTAATACTCCTCAACCACAAAAGCTTGCAATGATAAACTTACATTGAATGGCCATATTACAGTAATTTGTTACACACACAAAAAATAAATACACTTTGTCGCAATAAAATTTTTATTTACAAAAACAAGCAACAGGCTGGATGTGGCAAATGGATCACACAGAAGTCTTCACAGACTTTTACCAGTACCAATATATAATCCTACTCCAACGAGTACGATGGCTGTTACAACCTTCCCTGGGCCTGATACACACCTATTTTCATACTTTAACAATACCTTTTTAACAGTATAAATGCCACATTTCCTGACAAAACTCTCACGGTAACATAAATTTCTATGTCAAGTATTTTATTTATTTATTTTTTTTTTTTTGTCTTTTTCCTTTTCATCGGTACCAGGGATCGAACTCACGACTGCCTGCTTGCAAGGCAGGCGCTTATGCCGCTGAGCTAAATCCCCAGCCCCTATGTCAAGTATTTTAATAAAGATAAATTTTTTATTATTACTCATCATTCAAAAATCATCTTTATGCCTTCCAGTAATTTAAAAGATAATGTATGGCTTTTTAAAATAACACAAATGTAATCCTTACAAAAGACATTCTACATCAAAATTCCCCAAGTGCATTCTATAATTGATAAAAATTTGTTGTTTTCTTTTTTTTATGTGATTCACTCAACTCACTTGCACAAAAGTCTGGAATCGAGAATCCTTTTTCTGACGAGACTTGATCATTTCCAGGGCAAAAGGCTGGTTACTGCAAAATGTAGCAGCAGCATGTTTCAACTTCTCCTCTCCTGGTCCACTGAACTGTGCCAAGAATGCAAAGAAAACAATACAGAAGGAGACTTAAACAGAAGGCTGAGCAAAATGTGAGACAACCGCAATCCTTTCAGCATTCCAGGAAGTACTCTCAAGTGACAAAAATAGAGAGCTGCGTATGTGTGTACAGCTAACAATGGCTCTCCACTGAAAAGGCCTCACCCCGACACAGCCAGACCTTCTCTCATAAGTACCAATGTTCCTTCCTGGTAACTTCCCATAACTTACTATCTTGTAGCCTACATCACTTGTAAATTAAGGTAGAAAGGTTAGCCTGAGATTTAGCTTAGCAGCCTAAGTGCCTGCCTGGCAAGTGCCAGGTCGTGGGTTCGAACCCTGGTACAAAAAAAAAAAAAAAGAGAGAGAGAGAGAAAGGTTGGAGAAAATGAGATGCAAAATGCCCCGAAGAATGATACTGAAATTTGTCTCCATAGACTCTGACATCTTTATAAAAATTACTCTCCTACCGCTTTCGGAGGAAATCCTTGGAATATTGGCTTTCTCCCCCTACTCACTGTGCAATGTGCTATGACTAGAACAGGGTAGAAATAAAGTCAGATACTGCTACCTCACCTGTAAAGAGGCTGGAGCTGGAGAGGGGACATTCATGACCTTGTGAAACCTTTTAGCTAAAAATTATACTTTTTGCTAACATTTTTAATTTTTTTTATTTTAAAGAGGGTAAAATTAAACACAACCGAACAAAACAGAACATAAGAAAGCAATGTACGAGACATAAATTTCAAAGCAAGACAACAGAGATCTTCACTATTTATCATATTGTCTCTTGTTTTCTTCCAAATAGTTATCCATATTTTCACATACAGAGAAATCACACAAAACAACACAGCATAGTACTGATCTGAACAAGAACAGGAAGGTGTTTTAGGTCTTCAAGATCAAACAACAGGGAAGTCAACAATGGCTGTCATAGTGTCTCTCATTATCTTCAAAATAGCTGTCTATACCTTCATGTATGTTGCAATCATGCAAAACAAAACAGGCTAAAATCACTCTGAACATAGAATAATAGTATTGCTGGATTTCACATCATGACGCTACGGAATCAGCACTAACATTTTTAGTTTTTAAATTCAAATTTGCATATGTTGTGATTTGAAGGCATGATGAAACACCCCACAAGTGCGTCAGTTATAAGGTGTGCTTTTAAGTCAAATAAACTATTTTTAATACCACTTTTTATATTTTTAAATTATTGCTTTAAAATTTATCAAAAGACTTTATATAGTCTTTCACTTAAAGCCACATTCCCAAAAATTTATAAATGAAGATATTTTGTAAGAAATTCTTTGTATTATACACGAAGATAAATTTGTTTTTCAAGTAGGTTGCATATGAAGTATACTTTCATAGATCAAATGTGTAATCTCATTCTATTAAAAACATGACGGCAGGGCTGGGGATGTTGCTCAGTGGTATAGTACTTGCCTACCATGTGCAAGCCCTTGGCTTCCATCCTAACACTGTATAAGTAAATAGGTGAATACATAAGAAACCTGACACATTGAGAGATAAGACTGTCAGCATTTTTGATATATTTGTAATCAAAGTATCACACTAATACAAGGAGCAGCTGGGTTAACAAAAGAAAGTAACACTGCATACCCCAAGTATATGTACAATAGTTTTACAAGCAGTTTAAGTATTTATGTAAGGTGATCTTAATGGACCAACATAAGAAAAAAAAAAACCTCTTCAAAACTATTTTCTAAAATATAGCAGGAGGGGATAGAGGTGTAACTTAGTTTGACAGCATATACAAAGCATGTGCAAGGCCCTGGGTCTGATCCCCAGCACCACAGAAAAGAAAAAAGAAAACATACTAAAAATAGCAGGAATAAATCTAAAAGACTATTTAAAAGACTATCTAAAAGAATACTTTGATTCCAGGACTCCTGGCCAATGTTTTCCCATTTTAATTTTTGTATGTAACAGCTATTAAACCAGATTAGTTAGTTCATTCTGTGTTTTCTCAACTTTTCATAAGTATACCATGTAAGTCTAGAATACACTTCTATTTACATGATCTGAAGAAAATCTTTTGTCTCCCTCTGTTCTTAGGTTTCTTTGCTTTATTTGGCCCAGTAGATTTATGCAGCCAACTGCATAAAGAGAACCAACTGCACTTTGCACTTTGTATCTTATTAATGATGTATCTCATTTGAAACTTGCCCAATGTTTTATAAGAGAAGCAAATGAACCTGCTTAAAAATCAAGGTGCACTATGTTAATAATTCAAGTAGGACCTGGAAACTGATGCCTTATTATAAAAAGAAATCATGGGCAAAACTTTCAATGTCCTACTTCAAGTTAGCATCACACTGTCAAGTCAACAGAATTGAGTTCTCGTTCTCATTGCTACACTGAGACTAAGAAAAAAGACAAACCACACTACTAAGAGGAGCCATTCTATAAGCTGAATTTTTCAAAGAAGCTAAATCTTCTTAATAACAATAATGTGAAAGTGGGCTTAGGGTAGAAAATGCTTTGGAAAATGTAATAAATGAAAGCAACACTGGATTACGATTTCTTGCTCCTGTTCTGAGTCAAGTGATTAAAAAGATACATGCTATTAGATTAGGTGATTCTAGGTGACTATGATGTCACCAGTAAGATAAAGAAACCAGTTAAATGAACAATGTATTAGTTAACTTTCTAGACTTTAATCTTTTAAAAAAGCTGTAATTATAGAATTATTAAAATCTTGTGGCATTTCCTGAAGTAGTGTATATAAAACAGTGAATTTCTGTAGCCATATCCAAACCATTCTTATTTGGCCTGTGTTAAAATTCTGAGAAATAAACTATATACTCCAACATTATTAATCATTATTAACTACATAGTACTTGTTAATTTTTTAAAAAAACAGTTTTGTTTTGTTTTTGCACCAGGAAATGAACTCAGGACCTTGCACTTATCAGGCATGTACTGTACCACTGAGCTAAATCCCCACCAAAGAATTTAAATAAATTGCTTTCTGTATGTTCTAGTTTTGGGTTCTCTGCTACATAGTCCCACACAACTTGTATTCTCTCTCTTTTATTATACCCATCACATTTTAAATAACCAAGAGAACGTTTTCCCATTAATTACAAGCTCTCAAGGGCAGAAGCATTATCCTATATACTGACCAAGGCAGAAACACAGAATCTAACAAGTACTAAGCCTCTGGACTCTTATACCTTTTTCTATTATTATGATAGAAGTTCTGGATCTATAATTGTGTATTATGCAGTTACAATTTAGACAATAGAAGATGGTTAAAATTCTGTATTATTTTTATCAAGATCCATTTTACTCTCTTTAAAACATGAAGACTAGAATCTTTATTTCAGTGACATAGAAATTTTCAGTTTCAGTGCTGATCAGAATGTATTAACCATTCTACACACTTCTACCTTTTCCAGATTTACATTAACTTTGCAAATGGAGATTCTGTATATCTGGAAAGACTTGTTACTTAACAATGGATCTAATCAATAAGTGTCTATAAAACTATTAAAAAGAAACACAAAATTCCCTTACCCAGCTCAACAGATCTTCGCCAATGTGATCGATCACAGATGTCTCATTCCGCTTCCGAACAGCCTTCATTTGCTCATTCAACCCAACTAAATAAATAAACACACACACACACACAATTTTGGCTGAATTATTGGTAGTACTAAGTACCTACGTTTTCAGAGCCGGAATTTTCAAGCCAGGCATAGTGGTGAATGCCTATAATCTCGGATATCATGAGGCTGAACCTAAGTCAGCATGGACAACTCAAGACTGTTTCAAAATTTAAAAAATCAGAAGAACCAGTGTTGTAGCTCAGTGCTCCCTACGTTTCATTCCTAGTATTTGAAACACATACATACACAGAAATTTCAGAGAAGAATTTCAGTACTTTCAATATCCTTAAATATAAATCTGGATACAATGCTTATACATCTAGATATTGTAAGCCTGACCTAAAAAAACAGTGCTAAACCATCAAAAACAACATTTTTAGAAACTAGTACATTACAAACAGTGCAGCTGCATCAAATACGCATTTAACCTCAAAACTCCATGTATAACCAAGCTCAATAAGAATTTAAGTAGAAGTAGTGCAAGTGATTCTGTTCACTGATCTTCTCAAAATATGTATGTGCATTGTAATTGATATAATCAGGCCTAAATTTTTCAATGCACGTTGGGGTAAAACCTAAGATTACCTACAGAGTTGTAAAGGGCACTCACTGATTTGCCTGGTAAATGTTGAGTTGATACATGCTGGTATCAACTGACAGAGACTGAAGATTAAGAGTCATAGAGAAATAGTAACCTACAAAGTGAGGAGCATCCCACTGTTATCTACAAAAATCCAAGATGACTCACTCAGGGAAAGTTGCAGGTAGAATATCTGTGTATTTATAAAATGTGTTCAAAGCAAAACAATATAGCAATTCCTTAAAATTATCCCACCATGGGATAATAACAGCTGTAACAGTAATATTGCATATTACTATGTGTGAAATACATGTAAGCATATATTATTATATGGGATATATATTTTAAAATCATATATACTATACTTAACAGGAAATTTTCAAAGGTAATTTTGACTGTTCATATTATTCGATTTAAGCACTAACTTTAGACCTGAAGGCTTGTGTTTATACTCTACACACACACACACACACACACACACACACACAAACTGACTGTGGGAGTAATCGGTCTAAATAAAGATTCAGTAATTTCTTTACCTGATGCATTCACATACAATTTCAGGCATGTGAACATGTATGTAAATTATATATAGTTTACAAAATTAAATACTCTCAATCTTTTCCCTGTTGATTATGTATGGGTAAAGATCAGAGCTAACTCATCTTACCATGAAGCTGAAGAATATCTTCCAAGTTTGAAAAAATCTTCCGTAATTCTGAAGGTGACAGAATTCCTTCTCTGGACACTCGCTGATAGAATACTTGGTCAAGAACCTTCAGTGTTCGGACATGAGCTCTTTCAGTGTAGAACAATTCTAAGTTTAAAGAAAAAAGGTATGAAATGCTCTTACTTAGAATAATTCCAAAGGATCAATCTTTGTAATTGTAATTAGGAAGTAAATGAGTTATACAATAAATTATTTATGTAGAAAGAATGATTTATCTCTGAAATCACTTTGACTCCATGAAATACTTCTATACAGTGGTTCTCAGCTGAATGAAAGCTATCATTCAAAACTATTTCATACTTAAAATGGGCAAGGAGGCACATGCCTATAATTTCACAGGAGACTAAGACAGGAGGATTAGAACTCTGAGCCCAGCTCAACCCCGGACAGTTTAACAACTTAGCAAAACCCTTTCTCAAAATGAAAAAGGGTTGGAGGGTATAGTTCAGTGGTAAGGGCTTGGGTTCAACTGCAGTACTGCAAACAATAAACAGCAATGAAATAAAATATAAGTGTATTTTGTACTTAAAAAATATAAGTGTATTTTGTACTGCATCTGGTAGCTTAAGCAATTCTTTGAGGACAACAATAGCTGATATAACAACCCTTGTTAAATCCCTATCATCTTGTTTTGAAATCCTATTTTGCTATTGTTTTTTTGTGTCATTTTGCTTTTGTTGTTGCTTTTTAATTGTTTATTTCTTGAGTTTTCTGTTTTCTCTTTAAAATAAAAAAATTAACAGTGCATTCCCAAACTCATTCAATTGTTTATCTATTGTGATCACAAGTTAGAAATCTTTAAGCATCAATACCATATAGATTTTAAGCCATTTTAAGAATATCGGGCTTTTGCTTATCTAATCTGCCTATAATATAGGCAAATAGACTGGAATTTCACTATATTACAAAGTTGTCAGAGATAAGGATATTCAATCAACTCATGTCCTAAGGATAGTATAGGATATAGCATCTAAACTACGAATCTGTCACATATACATTAGGGTAACTAACAAGCACTGACACAGGGGCCAGAAAGAGTTAGATCGTAGTGTCGTTTTATCAGCTGTATGACCTTGATTAACTCAACTAGTTTCTCTGGGCTTTAGCCTCTTCTTTAGGCATAAAAATGGTTTGAGAGCTATAATACTATAGATCTTAAGTATCTTGAAGGCTAAACATTTTCTCTTTAAATTATCAGTAAGAATCACAGAATCACATTTTGGAATGGAAAGGTTCAAGAATTTTCTATCTAGTTTAATTCTCTTTGCTGGAAAAAAAAAGTTGAGAGAAACTGAAGCAAACTCTAAGGCTGAGGAATCTACTTTATTCTGATAAAACTCAGTATGTGTGAAAAACAACAGATTGATAAAACTCACCATTAATGACTTCCTGTCTTTTAATCTCACAAGCTTTCAGTCCCAGTAACACTTCTCGGCTAACAAGCTGCTGCCAGTTGGGTGGATCTGTTTCTAGGTCATTCTCAAATTGCTCATCCTCACTCTGACTTTCTCCAAAGGCTATGCTGTCAAACCTAATGAAGAAAAGTGACGAAAACTATTGGAGAACTTCAAGTGGACAACAGGAAACTGCACAGCTCTTAAGGCTATAGTTCAGTCACTTTTGTAAATCTGATTCAGCAGAGCCTCAAACATACTACCTTCCTACAAAATGCTTTACACATGCTATGTACACTTTAATATGTATCTTTTGATTTATGCTTATTAAAATTTTTCTTTTATGTTCTTTAACACAATAGTGTACAAGAGTTAAGACTGGAAATTTAGGGAAGAAAAGCTCTATTTCTTAGACTGCAAGAATCCTTTTTTAACTGTAAGCCTTTATTGAAAGCTACTTAAGATTTACTTACTTTCGGAAAGGCTTTGGTGTCCCAAGTTCTGTCAGCCTTAAAATAATGAAGAATAGGGTTAAAAGGAAACCAAAATGGAGATCAAAAAATTTATAGCTAAGTATTTAAAACTGAGTTAAATGCCAATGGCTGGATAAACAATTCTCCCAGATACAGGAATTATTTAATATGAAATAAATAGAAAATTTTAGTACTGCTCTAATATTTACTACCAACACATGCTACTTCCTTAAAAACATTACAAAAGGAAAAACATCACAAAGTACAAAAATACACAACTTTAAAAAACTAAGCAACCCCTACAACCCACTAAGGTCTTACTGACTCACCTTTCCACTTCATACTCCTCCTCCTGAACCTGGTCTAATGGAGGAGGAGGGAAATCAAAGATGGTATTAGGAGTACGAGGTGCGCCATCCAAGGAGTCTCCAGATGCCAGTGTTTCTCTGACTTGTTTTAATCCTAAAAAGATAAAAGTCAGACATTGGCATAGTGTTATTAAAGACAATGATTACAGAAAAATTAGTCTCAAGAAAACCTACTTCACAGTGACATTTTTATTTAAATATTTTCAGGCTAGCTAGAACCAAAATTTTAATACATAAAACTTTTAAATGAACTTAAAAAAATAAACAGGAAAATAATTTTTAAAGTACTTCTTAAAAATCAAAAACTCATTCAGAAAAGTGTATGATCAGGAGCAACATCATCCCACAATATCCCCTTCTGCTTCCAGTATCAACCTTGTTAAAGTTTCTATCTAGATGTCCACCCAAAGCCTCATGTGCTCAAAGACAGGGCTTTTGGGAGGTGACTGGACCACCAAGGTGCACTGACCAAGCCCACCCATGAGTTTACAGCTGACTTGCTGTTAGGAAGTGGGATCTGATTGAAGAGGTGAGTCACTGGAGGGCATGGCCTAAAGGATTTACCTTCCTCCACTCTCTCTCAGCTTCCTGGGTGCTGTGCCAGGAGATGCTTTTCCTTTGCCACACCCCTCTGCCATGCTATTCTTCCAGCCAAACAGACTGAAACCTCTACAACAGTGAGCTAAAAGAAACCTCTACTCCTTTAATTTATTGGTATTAGGTACTGTGTCCTAGCATCAACCAAAATAACAAAGAAAAACTCTTTTTCATGTTTTCAATCTTAGTTATTAGGGTGATCCAATTCCAATAATAATCTGTATTTTTCTTTTTCTTGATTTATTATCTTTAGGTAGTACGTATTTCTTACCCTTCTGATGATTTTACTCATTTATACTTCCAGTACCAACTTTCCTACACAGTCCTAATGGGACCACTATCACATATGCAGCCCATTTTTGATCAAACTGCTGTTACGTGGTACATTAATCGTATAATGAATGAAACGTATGATGAATGAGAAAAAAAAGGGATTCATCCATACAGTGTCCTTGGAAACTCTAAGTACACTAAAAAGATACGACGTTGAATAGTTGTATTATTAGAAACACTTAATAGTTATATTATACCTGCTGGGTGACTAGTTATTACCTAAATTAAAGTCTGTTTATGTTCCATCAAGGAGTTTCTATCTCAACTCTTTTCTGTTAGATTAGATGCTTAGAATCCATATCCTTTCCTCTCTTTCTTTCAGCTTGGATTTCTTTCAACTGCATTCTTAGTTACATCAAGATGATTTCTGACATTTATATTTTGATCTGAAGCCATGGAAAAATATTCTATGCTTTGTCTAGTAGAATGATTCTGAAAGTCCAAAAATCAATGAAGTGTGCTGACATTATTATTATGCCCTTTTTTTTTTTTTTTTTGGTCTTTTTGAGATAGGGTCTCTGTGGTGGTTTTCTATTTTATTTCTTCAAATTTTTCTCAAATGTCCATGTTTTGATATTTCTTATATACATTCTAAAATTTTAGGGACATTTTTTCTTCCTTTAAACAATAATGATTATAGTAGTTTGAAAATATGTCCACAATTTTTTGACATTTCTCCCTTCAGGAATGGATGCAAGATTTAACAACTTGTTTCTACCTTGCATAATTACTAGGAACTAAAATGTAAAATACAGCAGTACATTCTTCTTGCCCTGTCTCGTGGATAACTCTAGAAAAATTCAGTTTATTATGTCAAGGTGTAATCCAGGAGCTCCATATGGCAAAGAGGTGAGACAGTAAGAAGTGGATCCCCCACCTTTTTGAGAGACCACAAGCCCACCCAGCTAAGTAGCTACAAAGTTATTCCCTCACCAAAAAGGGAGGTAATGTTTTGGTGTTAAGCAGCCTGCAAACTGTTGTGTTACAACACAATGATTAATAACTAATAAAATATTTCTTGCATTGTACCTAGTGGTTGTATTTTTAAAATTTTTTCTCTGAGTGCTCCTTTACCATAGGATCTTATTCTTACTTTACAGATACAGTAACTTCTTTAATGTCTCCAAATATTATCTAGTTAGAGGTAGTCTTTTAAAGTTCTTGTCAGTTACCAAAATTTTTTTCTTCTAAAGGAAGAAGTGTATTTCATGTGTATTTTCCAGTGTATTTCATGTTCTCTATGTCTGTATTTAATATATCTGGCCTTATGTATAAATCTTAGGTATTGATTCTAGTAAGCAAACGTTTCTTTCTAAAGATAAGTAATGATGTTCATACTTAAGAATCAAAGACTAGGTGGCTGACTGGGCTTTCTTTTGCTGCTATATGGAAGTAGTATTGTCTAATTGAGGGCTCTTTACGTAGTGTGAGTCCCTGGCCATGTCTGTCAGGTTTAGGTTCCTAACTGTACGAACCTAAGGGAATCAACTCCATGAAGGATTTAACTCTCCCTAAAAAATTCATTCCATTTCTATTAAAAAAATAAAAAAAAAATTTAAAAACCCAACTCATTGGTATTCTTCTAGTCCATAAATGACAGAATACTTACATTTTATAAAGCAGAACTGCTTACATTTTATAAAGGAGTCAGAAAATGCTGACACAGCCAGACTATAGATACTCAACTCAGTCATCACTTTTAGCTCTATTTCTTTCTTTTTTGCACATGCGAACACTGAGGCTAAAGTCTTTCCATGGTTCCAATGGGCAGAATGGCTTGCACCTTAACCTCCTTAAACAAATTAGCCTCTGAATTGTGTTATGTTGTTTTACTCATTTATCCACTCTTGCCCACTTTCGATCTTCCAAACATGAAATCTCTCATGTGAAACAACAGTCTCTCCCTCTACCCACTTTCTCTCTATGGTTGTTAGGCTCTATCTCCTATGTTTTTATTTCCATGAATCATGGGGGCTAAGAAGTATCAATGCTTTTACTCTAAGAATTGCATACCTCAGAAAATTCTCAGGCAGCACTCCAAGTGTCACTCCTACTTGTCTGTCTAAACAGAAACCTGCTTGTTCCATGAGGAGGAAGAACCTAGTTCTTTTGCCACAGTGTTCTGAAAACGAAAGTGGTATTTCGTCTTAAACTGTGTATGGGTAGAGATGCAATGGGTAGCCCTGTTCCTCTGTCCAACTTTTAGGCCAGAATCGTGCCCTCATCTTGTAAAGTCACTTGGTTCATTAAACCTGGCATTCTCTGGATATATCACATCTTCTCCCTCCTCACAACAGTTATCTAGTAACCTCCTCTAAGACGCATCAGTGACATTCCCACAGCTTCTTCCTTAACTCTGTCATCACCAGAATCTGAATTGCTTCAAGAATCATGAGCATGGAGTGACACACCTTTCTTCAAATAAAACCACTTATATGCCTAGCTGACCTGTCTAAGAAGCCAATTGTAACAAGTATGAAGAAATATGGTACTAAGCTCCTTTAGTGATTATCTGTAACAATTACTTCTTTTCTCCCTTTAATTTTCAAATCTCCTTGCCTCTCTAAAACTTTGCTCAATTAATAACCTTGCCTTTTACATACACTCTGCAGATCCTCTCCTCTCCTCAAAACTTTGCTCTGTTGTTGATATAGTTTCATTCCCATATATTCAACCTCTTTTTGCTACAGGCTTCTCATTACTATTTTTTAAATATCTCTAAAGTTTTTAGTCTTAGACTCCAACATCTGCCTCTAACTAGTGACCATTTTCCACAATTTTTCTATTATCTCTTTTCGGGACTTACCACAATCTGAATTTTTCGAGTGACTCTCTCCCTTATGTGACTAAGGATCAAGAGGCAAGCATTTGTGTAGAATTATTATATCCCAAAATCTGGCACAAAGATACTGTCTGACAGAGACATAAGACTTATTTATGATACATTTTTACCATCTACTTTTATCTAATATTATCACCTATTATCATCTATCATTATCAAGTACTTTTAGATAGATAAGAACTACTTATCACACATCATTGATTTATTATGTTACTGAATATTAAAATGTTAAAATCAAAGTAAATTAAAATTCAGCCTGACTTAGAATACTCTGCCTATCACTTAATTAGTGTGTTTGTTTTAAATGCTGATATTTAGCTAAGCTGACCCTTAGTAGTGGCTCACCTGTATCATTCTCTTTCCCTCCTTCCTGGGAGAGAGTGACTCCTGCAGCCACAGAACTCATGGAACTGCTAGGCAGGTATCCAGCATCTGTTCCTTCATTTGTTACCCCACTCTGATGCAACTTAGCAGAGTCCTGAGGTTCAGGACTCACAGAGGAGGGAGTGGATAAGTGCTTGGGGTGACGTGCCTTCTGTAGTTCCATGGCCCTGCCAACTGAATGGAAAATAATGATAAGTAATCTATGTCGCAAGACAGCTCAATAAAAAAAGAGATGAAGTAAAAATATCCTAAAAGTATTTGTGAAAAAATATAAAACCAACACACAGCACAAAGAATACACAGAGAACATGAAAGAGTGTAGGGAGACAGAGAGTACAAGAGGGGAAAAGGAGAGGAGAGAGACACAAGCTAAGAGAGAACAGTGGAAGAGGGAAAGGAGATGCAAGAGGGTGATCAGAAAAGGAGAGAGAACGTGGAAAATGAAGTGGAGAAGGATGAGGCAGAAGGTGAAGGATCATGAGAAAAGGAAATGAGAAGAGCAGTGGCAGGTGGGGGAGGAAATGCCAAGACACAGAGGTCTATGAAGCTGTACCATCTGTAAGAAAAACGAGGAAACCTTTATCACTGTGGCAGTTTAGCAGGCCCTCCTGCCACTTTCCTCCCAGCACTTACAACTTTGTCCTCACAATACACCTCATCTTCTTCATAATCACAGTTACACAGGTCAGTACAAGAAGCTGCAGATATCTGGTAACCATCCTTCTCAGCAAGGTGCATCCTCAAACAGTTGTACACTCTGAGTCTAACCAGTCTTCCCAAAATCCTAAAACTCTCTCTGCATTGTTTGGAAGTCAGAGTCAACATGTGTAAGATCCTCCATCTCCCCAACCACCTTTCCAAAAATTTCTTTCCCTTTTCTCAGTATTTCTCAAACACGGGCACTAATGACATCTGAGTAAGAATGCAAATCATTTAGGACACCCTGTATCACTGTTCCACAACTTGTCTTCCACTGCTATCATGTCAGTGTTTGCAATGTAATACTGTCTAAGATGAGAAGTACTACCTGACCTACTTACCTTCCCCACAGTGCTAACATCTCTGTTTTTCCTGCAGCCCTTTCTAGTGAGTCGACCTTTTTCCAATGGCTTTAGGGGACAAGGGAGACCGGAAAATAAAGGCACCCTCTGAGCATGGTAGTACATGCCTATTATTCCAGCAGTCTGGGAAGCTGAGCCAGGAGGTTCACAAGTTTGAGTCTAGCCTGAGCAACTTAGTGAAACCCTGTCTCAAAACAAAAACTGGGTTGGGGAAGTGGCTCAGTGAAAAGGCCCTTAGTTCAATTCCCAGTACAAGACCAGACAAAGAAAAGGCACTAGGTGGAGAAATAGGACTATGGAGAGAGTGAGTGATATATGTACAAAGACATGGAATGAAATATGGTGCACACATAATCCACACATAATCTTTTTTTAAAATCTAAATCACAAGAGTGGAAGATCACAAAATCAGGAGAGATAAGTAAATGAGGTTATGAGTATCTGATAGAATGCTGCCATTAAAGACAACGTTTATGACAATTACATAGAAGCTAAGGGGTACTGAGTTCAGAAACAGCACTGAAGAGAAGAACACATTGGAAATTTAGTGACATCACCTCAGAAACACCTTCCTCTGCCAGCTCATGCCAGCCAAATGGACTTCTGATACAAGGACAGAACAGTGGGAATGCACATTTCATACTTGAACATACTTGCACTATTGTCATGACGACTTGGTCTCCTTGGGGGTCCCAGAATGCTGGGGAATCCTCTTCGCTTTCCCTTTTCTTCGCCTTCTTTATCTTTCTTCATGCTTTGCTAGAATTGAGACATAATCAGAAAGATAGAAGACTCCTAACACACAGTAGATTTCTTTTGCTACTTTCAAACAAAAATCTAATGCTGATGGTTACAAAAATGGTTAAATGTAAATAAAAGTGTACACACACATACCCTCAACAGGGTACTCATCAGAGATTGGCACACAGCTTTGCAGACATCAAAAACTCAAAATGTCTATGTAAACCCTTTAGAGATACTAATTTGGGAAAATAAAAGAGCAGTTTTACCAGGAGCTTCTTAACCATGCAAATTTACATGTTTACCAGGAGCTTGTTCTAAACAACTGATTCACCCATTCAACAATTTCACAAGTATTATTATGCCTAGTGACAATGTGCTGGCTTAGTAAATATTAAAAAAAAAACATTGCAATCAAGTGTAAACAATGTCAAGCCCTGAACACTCTATTATTATTCCAGTCTTACTTTGATTTTTGGAAGGAATCCAATTCGACCCCGCTTGTGCTCCAAATTTCGAGGTTCTTTCACTTTGACTCCCAAATGCTTCATGTACATGAGGATAACATACTGCATTGTGGAACTGAAGGAGAAAGATTCGGGAAGGTAAGACTTCTGAGAAGGAAAAGTCAGAAGAAAGGTATCAAACATTTCTAAAGCCACAATGTTGAAATTCTTTTTTTTTTTTTCTTTTTTAAGACAGGGTTTCACTATATCGTTTGGGCTGGCCTTGCACTAACTCATTTTGTAGCCCAGGCAGGCCTCGAACACTCAGTGATCTGTCCTGCCTCAGTGTCGAGTGCTGGGGTTACAGGTATGTACCACCAGGCCCAGCTAATAATGTCTAAATTCTTAAAATTAAACAACAACAAAAAAGTAAAAACTATCTTCAATGTATACATTAAAAGATTCTACTTGTATACTATTAGAGTATTAGTCAAATAAAATATAGGCCACCAGGGGGAGACCACACTCCACATTTCTAAGTTAAAAGAACTAAATGGTAATTTAGGGTTGACAGGCAAAAAAGTCAGGTTTTTTTTTTTAATTCTAGGAAAAAATAAAGTTTTATTACCTCTTTTCTTCTTCTACAGCCTGAGCAGTCATCCTAAAAATATTTTAAAAAGAAACTTATAAATTTAACGAAAGCATTGTTATTGAACTCAAGAGACCCAAGACAACAGAACAAAATCAAATGCTTTTGGTTTCACCTAAGTTGGTCACCCAGATGAAATACCCAAGGAATCCTAATTCCCAAAAGAACCACACCATTTTCATATTCATGTCATCAAGTGAATATGGTTTATAGCAAGAAATATTTTCCAAGCCTAAGCATTAAAACCAATGAAAATATTCAAGTAGTTTTGTTTATGGATTAGATTTTTTAGTGTTAGTCATCTGCTAACATTCAGAAAAAGAAATCCAAGAATTTTACCTAAATAAAATATTGGGGGGTGTTTCTCAAGTATTATGATAAAATAAATAGCTTCATACATACAACCTACCCTTCTAAACCTTTTTTTTTTTTTTTTTTTAAAGAACACATTTGAGATACAGTCCCTGAATGGAGTGGGCACATACACACAACACACCTGACTTCCTTTTTTAAGCCCCTTTCCTTCCCCTCCTTCTCTCGCCATCTCTTGATGCCATTCCCATTTGAGAAAGAGCTACTTCTCTACGCCTGTCATCTACCTTTACTTTTGCTCTTTATTTATAATTTGATTTTCTCCTATAAGAGAAATCATGCGATATTTAAGTCCATGTGTCAGCCTACACATAATGTCTCCAAGTGCAGCTGTTTTCCTACAAATATTTCCAGTTTATCTTCTTTTGTGACATGGCTGCAGGGGGAAAAAGGAACTCTTTTACATTGTTGGTGGGGATGTTAACTAGTACAACCACTACAGAAATCAGCGTGGAGACTCCTCAAAAGAGCAAAACTAGAAATTCCATTTGACTCAGCTATTTCAGTTATCTTCCCAAAAGGGTTAAAGACATAACGCTACAGTGATACATGCACATCCATGTTTCAAGGAGTACGATTCATAATAAATTAAATCTTGCAAGTGGCCCATATGTCCATCAACAGATAAATGGATAAAGAAAATGTGGTATTTTCACACAATGGATATTATTCTGCCCTTTTAAATTTGTTTGGAGTGCTTCAAATATAATTAGCAATTCCACAAGCACTTCTATTACTTACAATACTTCTTCAATTTTGGAAACAATCTGTTCTGCACATGCCCGCTCCTTCTCCAAAGTTACCCGGTCCTTGTCTCGTTCTACGTCAAGTTTAGTCAGCTCACTTTCAGCCAAAGTTAGTCCCATGCTACGTTTCTGCCTAAAGAGAACAGGAAAAATCGTTTGAGTAGTGTAGAGAAAAATCACCTCCTCCTGGATGGGTTTCAGCAGTTTCATTAGTTATGAGTTTCGAGAAACAAGGAAAATATCACAATCTCATACTTATGGGTCCATGTCACCTGGGATAATAGAGGGGAAGAAAATCCAAAGGTAATCACTCACAGATACATCTCTTTATTGTAGGCACAGTCCTGAGTGTGAATATTGAAAATATACGAAATGAGGACTATGAAGTCTTATTTTCACTCTAACCCTCTGACTCCACATGTTCATTACGTTTTAATAATGAAGGTAGGACCATATGGTTTACCGAGTGCTAGGTTAAGTTTTTAATGTCTTTTTCTACTTAGAAAAAAATTCAGAATGACCCTACCAGGTTTTATCTACGACCAAGCTTACCGAAAGTCTTCCAAGTGCCTCTGAACATCTGGGTGGACCCTTTCTTGCATCGTTTGGATATAGTGGCGATGTAGATCCTCAGGAATAAGTTCAGGTCTTCTCTTTTCTGTATAAAGAGAAAGGAATTATTTCACCTAAAAGTGCATTTCATGAAATATATAATAGAGACGCCAACCCAACAATGCTACTGTGTATAAATTTAGCTTGGAGTACATCAGAGAAATTCTTCAGTGCAGTTCATGCATTTCATCTCAGAATTTGGATTTCAATTCTCTTTAATGAATTGCTGACTCTCCTTGTATAGAGATTCAAGTGATTGCCACATGACAACATTGTTAGAACTGAATTGAGCTACATAACTACACTGATTCAATTCTGCAAAATACCGGTGTTCCAAACTTACCTAGGTCTATAGCTATTTCATCAGGAACAGAAACTTTCAGGTGCTAAAAGAAACGCAAACAAAAGGTGAAACAGCACTGAAGACTTTTCACAATAAACACAAACTCCTGTATACAACGTAAAGGGATACAACTTGGATACCTACTCATGGAAGCATATACACATAAAAGCTTACCTACTCATCCATATTTCATAGTTCCTGGAATGTCCTATTGTTTAAACTTAAAAATAAAACCTTCTCAAGCATTATGCTCTAAGGAAATATCCAGTTATTCACAGGCGACTGCATGCTTCAGTGTTATACTTATTCCTAATGAGTACATTGGCTTTGACTTTCTAGAACTATTATTATAATCACATGCACATAATTTGAATAAATATAGGTTAAAATCTAAACTGATCTATATATAAACCATAACTTTTATTTATTGCATTTGGGACCCTGCAGGCCACTATATTTCCACTATCCTGTGCAAGTTTTAAAAACCTCAACAGTCACACTTCCAAAAGGAATTTCTCTGAATACCAATAATGAACTTCTTGGAGTCTTAAATCTCCACTAATCATCTATAGTTCTTGCTACTGAACTAAGGTGACAGTCTCAGAATCTACTTCTTCCTAGTTGAGATTTTCCTTGTAACTGCAGTATTGAGTCCTGCTGTAAGACTGTTGTGCTTGTCACTCCATCAATTTGGAGGAAACTTTCATCATTTTACATGCAGAAAAATGACTTCATGAATAAGACTGTATAGCTATTTAAGTCACAACATTTCAGAATTTAAACAATTATAATAAAAATCTGAAGTTTTAACTTGGAAAATAAGTCATGCTAAAACATTGAGATCTCTTATCCCCCTCATTTTTAAAATAGTGAGATGTTCTTCAAATCTTTAACTGAAGCTGTTAAGCAACAATTCAACTTTCTTCCAAGTATTTCTAGCATCAATGCAAAAAATACACAAAACTTCATTTGTATATATGGATACTTATATGAAATAAATATGGCTGGTAGCATAAGAGAATAATTAACTAATTAATCAAAATTCTTTTTATTCTTTAATACTGATATAGACTATGAATAGCAAAATATAAGGTTTTTGCATAGCTTGGAGCTCTATTAAAAATATGAAATTCTATTGTAAAAGTGAAAGGGATAGAAAGTGCTCTAAAGGATACAACAGTATGTATAGTGTGTAAGATAGATGACCATATTACTAAATTTCTGTTAGATCATTGAACAGAAGGGTTTCAGTGTCTAGCCACCTTTTATCTTTGATTTTTTAACTTTAACAACTATTTTTAGGATGACAATATGTAATATATCAACTAGTGATTTTATGATGTTAATTTTTGTGAATTCTGTGTTATTCTATTTTTTCTATTTTAATTTTCTTTTCTTTCTTTAAATAAAAAAGAAAAAATGAAATTCACACATAACTTGAATATACTGTCATTTCTTCATGATAGCAAATATTTTTAATAAAAATGTGTAATATTTTAAACACAACAGTATAATCAGATCATTCAACAAATATGAGTCACACTGTCTGCCAGGAACTACTGGAGACGCAGTAGCATACAAAATAAAATATTTGCCCTAATGGAAGTGATATGCAGGGCAACAAAAAAGATGTATATGTAAATAAAATTAAATTCTCAGACAAAATAATACAGAAGATTAAGGGAGCAAGACTTCTAAGCAGGCTGGTCAAGGAAGGGTTCAGTAAGAAGGTAATACATTTGCCAATATGAACATGTAGTCACCTTTGTAAAAGAGTATGAAATAGGGGAAGAGCTAGAAAAAGCTGTGGAGTCAAAATGTTTGTGTGTATGTTTATTTTTACGATCATGTTTGCATGATAATGTTACGATTCAGTAGAAAAAACACTGATAATAAGAGAGAGAAGGGGGTAAGTGCCTGAGAAAGTTGTTTATGTGTAGGCAGAGAAAATATACCCTGGCTAAAAAGGAAAGCAACTGGTCCAGGGTAGAGGGGAACCAACTCCTTAACAGTATCAGAAAAAGGGTAGAGTACGTAATATAATGGACATAAGTAATATATCTGGCAGAAGTTCTCTTCTCTATGCATTAAATTTCCCAGAAAAACAGCAAGGTTATGAGCTGAGAAAAGGTTAGAAGAGGAAGTGACACATATTTTGAGAAAATGTATGAAGTAGTCATCAAAAGAAACAAAGTGAAAAGATGAGAGCTATGCAGCCTGATCATCCAAGGAAGTATTAAGTGCAAAACGCCATTTACTCATAGAAAGGGTAACCATAAAACTCAGCTTTAAAATTTTATTAAAATTTCCATTGGTAAGCCACGTGTAGTGGTGCATACCTGTAATCCCAGCACTTTTGGGAGGCTGAAGTAGGAGGACTGCCTCGAGTTAGTTAGAAGCCAGCCTGTGCCACATAGTGAGTTCAATACTAGGCTGAATTAAATAGTGAAATCCTATCTCAAAAAACTCAAAACGCAAAACAAAGCAAATTTCCACTGGTAAAAGAGAGCACTACTACCATTTATTTCAGTGTTAGAGACGGCTTTTCCACTACTTTCTAGTTAAATTTGTGTCTCTAAACCTTAAAGTGGCCACTTAGAGTTCAATTCTATAAATATTATCCCTTGGACCCTAATATACATGTCTACATATATTCTGTTTCTTGTTCTCCCATTCTAATTATGCACATGTGAAAACTCATACATATGTGTATCTCTTAAAACCTATTAGAAGAATTTAGATTCTCAAAACTAATTTAGAAATGATAAAAGAGGAAAACCAGTCAAGAGTAGCCAATAATAGAGATATAACTACAATTTCCAAAAGCACAACAAAGTCCAAAAACATGCAACTGAAGACTGGAAATAGAAAACCAGTAAGTCAATGTAGCGAAGTAAAGATAATTAATATTAACTTGGCAACTTACTGCAGATCGATCCAGGAAGAACTGGTGAAACTCAAGGAAGATGCGACGTGTTTCCTTGGAATTAGTCTGTTTATACAGGTCTGAGTAGAGATAACAGAGCTGACATGGAAAAAGAAATAAAAAAGACAAAGTAAAAAAATCACCAAAAAATGTTACTTGCTAGTTCCTCCTAAATAGGAATGTTTAGAATATGTAGTTCACTATCAACAATGCAGTCACTACCAATCAAGCCTTTAAAAAAACACCTTTTATGTTATCTTTCATTACTTATTCTGGACATATTTGGAAGACTGAAAGTCTTTCTACTCATGCTGTAGATACAGAGAGTTCTACATTACATAAATTAATATAGGATCTCTGAACCTGCTAAATTAACATATATTACCAATGTTGCAGGGTCAAACTGTGAAACTACATGGTGTAAGAAAACAGCCAAATGAGCAGGGCGAGACTTTAGCAGTTCAATGCTCTGGAAACAGCTGCACTGCCCGTTGATCTAGAAGAAACAGTTACACATTTATAAATGATATACAAGTACAAAATGCAACATAAACTCAAACAAAACTATGCAAATTTAATTTTGCCCTTCCTATTAAAAACTCAATATTGCAGAAGTTTCACAAAAATTTATTGGTAACACAGGCTATATAATCTCCACCTCTTGACCCAGATGGCACAGGCCTATCATGCCAGCTCTGAGGTTGCTGAGACAAGATCGAGGTTCAAAAATTGAAATCAAGCCTAGGCTACATCTTACACATCCTAACTCAAAAACAAAACAAAACAAAAGTCTTCTTTTGACAATTAATTATTAAACTATTTGGGAGAACAGATGTTTAGGAAGTGATTAACAAGGAGTTGATATGCCTGCAAATCAGCATGTAAAACAATCTCTAATTGTACTTACACAAACATAAGGCTTTTTGCTTAGTAATGAAATAGCTGCTTATCTTTTGGGCTAATCATAGAAATGGCAATCAAAAATGAAGTTTACCTTATTTTAAGACAACACCCAGAATATTTGTATAATCCCCTAAGAATTCTCAGCACGAAGACAAATTAAAGGTAAACTAGCATAATTTCCAAATAGTTTTTCACATTTAGATAAATTAGAGAAGCTACACTAAGTAGTATCAATTCTGTACGACTGTCTCAAAAAACAGGAGGTCATTTCTCAAATCATTCTCAAGTCAACCTATTCTCCTCTATCAAAACTAGCAATAGCACCAAAAAAAAAAAAAAAAAAAAAAAGACCACAGACCAATATAACTCATGAACATAGATGCAAAAATCCTCGTAAAATAAAAGCTAACTGAATCCAACCATACCAAATAAATAAATAAATAGACAACAGATCATGATAGACTCTAGGAATATAAGGCTTGTTCAACATTCTAACATTAATCAATGCAATCTACCATATTTAGATACTAAGCCAGAAAAGCCATACGATCATCTTATTTAACAAAATTCAATGTGTAGTCATCATAAAAACTCTCAGTAAGCCAGAAATATGCTTTAACCTAATAATACTTAACCTAACAGAGTATCTAACAAATAGTGTTAAGTACAGAGTATCTAAAATAGTGTTAAGTAACATACTAAATGATTGGGAATAAAGCAAGGATATATCATCACTCTGATTCAATTTCATACTGTAAGTCTGTGCCATTACAATAAAGGGAAGAACAAGAAATAAAAGATACACAGATTGGAAACAAGAAAATTTAAAGTCTCAGGACCAGCAGTGCCAGCGGTCCTGAATTTGATACATCACCCCCATCACCAAAAAAAATTGTAAAGTCTCTTAATAGACAGTATGCTTGTTTATAGAGAAAAATCCCAAAAGACATTCATTTTTTAAAAATCTTATAAATAGTAAGTGAACTTAGCAAGATCACAGGATATAAGAAGAATCAAGCCTATAATATATATTTATATACATATTTCATGCACATATTTCAAATCCCAGTCATTCATTATATATTATATTCAATAACATCCCAATATCACAATGAAACAATTTAAAATCAATGACACAACTTTCTGTTTTTAAATGCAAAGTCATTTCTAACAGTAAAAGCTAAAACAATCCAAGCTGCCACTGGTTCTAAGATTTAGTTTCAAATCCTTACATATGTTATTTTGATCTCCAGAAAATGTCTATTTGTTGCAATAAATCAGGCATTTCAAAAGTCAATTTATTTTTCAGAAAAAAAAAAAGATCATCACCTGTTCATGTTCAGTACCAAAATCATCATCCTCTGCTCCAATAATATGAGGTGTTACACGGGTTAAGGGACTCCCAACAAATGACTGAGTGTCCTGGTAACATTCACAGAAAAGAAAAAGAAAAATTATAAGTCAGTGAAAGAATAAAACTGAACCATCAAAAAGATATGGTTCACTTAACTGATGGGATTTATTTTTGGTAAATTTCTTTTAGCTACTTTATTTTCAAAGTAGTGGTTTTCAAACTGTCTAAGCCCATAAACCACCATAATAGAGAAAATAATCACAACAGAAATAACTAATTCTTGGAGAATGAGGAGGACTAAAATTATCCTTGAAAATAGTAAGTACTCTTTGATTACTATACCGTTATTCCAATCACTTTCTATATCCTTAATTTATTAACTTCACATACCTATACCTATTAGAGAAAGACATAAAATGACTTATGCAATTACTATAAAAAGTTAAAGAATAGAAAAAATACAAAAAAAGGAGAGCAGAAATAAGACAGAATTAGCGGAACTATTAACACACCTGAGAAATGCTAAACGATTTCTATCAACTATACAAAATTGAAAACTATTACTGAATTCTATATTTAATTCACTTTCATAAATGCATAATACAGCATTTCTCAACTTTGCTACTGTTGAAATTCTTGGTTAGATAACTATTTGTTGAGGGGTTGTGCTGTGCACTGTAGTTATGGTTAGCAAGCATTCCTAACCTCTACCATCCAGCAGGTGCTAGCGGTAGCTTCTAGCAGTTTGCTAAGACAAAGAAAAGTATTTCCAGATACTGTTCAACATTCCCGCAGGGCAAAACCACTCCCTGTTGAAAATCACTGGCATATTGCAATAAAAGTTTCAAGTGATTTCACAAATCACTTGTTAGAGATCACAAATCACTTTTTAGAGAAACAAAGACATTAAGATTTTAAAAATAAACTGGAGTTTGGCATACAGCACTCCATTTAGTACCTCATCTGCTCATCTACTCACAAGGCTGGAGTCAGCATGAAGAAGGCGGCATAAAAGAATTTATAAAGCGATATTTGAAGAACAAGCAATAAGATCAAAGGTCATGTAGGATTAAGAGAAATAAAAATCATGAAAGAAATAGAAAAAGAATGAATTTGGCTTAAACATGACAGCAGCTGACCATGGGAAATCTGGCGCTCACAGTGGTGGCTGGGGCTACACTGGCTTAGCAGTCACTTGTACAGCAGTTACGTATTAAGCGTATGTAAGTAGATCTGTAGGTTACAAATGCAGTGAAAGTTATAAATTCATTGAAGAGTATGCATCTATAGTTTTTCTTCCTTAGGTAGTAATACTATATACTGCATCCCTAAATGTGATTCTGCCTTTTAAAAATTATTCTTTTAACTGCAAGGTTTCAATGAAAAAAAAAATCATGTAAAAACAACAGAAATTTGCTTAGAACAAAAGACAGACAAAGTTTAATTTTATAACTGAGTTGATGTCTTTAATTTTTCAATAGTCTTTATGTTGTTAATAGTCAATATATCACAAAATTTTGTTAAATCTTTCACTATAAAACTTCAGCCAGGTTTGCTGGTACACATCTACAATCCTAGCACTTTGACAGAGCGATACAGAGGGAGGCAAGTTCAAACCTAGCCTGGGCAAATTAACAAAAACCTGTTTAAAAAAAAAAAAGGCTTGAAATGCAGCTCTGTGAGAAATGCAGCTCTGTGAGAAAGTCCTGAGTTCAGTGAACAGTACCACAAAAAACAAAAGACCCTTCAAACAAATGTAATTTTAAAACCAGAATGCTAAAAATATTCAATGGAGAGCATTTAAGAGCCAGCAGTCCCACTTCTTGGTATATAACCAAAGAACAGAAAACAAGGCAGCGTCAGTCACAACAGCCAAAAGGCGGAAGCCACCCAAGTATCCACCGTTAGATGAGTAAATAAAATGTAGCATGTGCATATCATGGAACAGTACTCAGAGTCAAAAAGGAAGGAAACTGTGATACACAACACAGCAGAGAGGGACTGAAGACACTGTGCTACTTGAAGAAAGTCACGAAAGTCATGTGATTGCATGATTGCATGTACTTGAGCAGCTAAAATAAGTCAAATTTATAGAGACAGAAAATAAAATGGCGGTTGCCAGAGGCTGGAGCGACAGATGAACGTAGACTGAGTGCTTAATGAGTACCAAATTTCAGTTAAGGGGACAAATGGCAGTGACCGTTGTCCAGCAGCATAAATGTACTTACAGCTACCATCCACTTAAAACAGTGTTTTTATGTCTGTCTTACTAAAATAACAAAACACTACCAAGCAACTTAAGAATACCCATTTTTTTTAACTCTTCATTAATTTAACAAAGAAAAGCATATCAAATTTATCCATCATGTCTTAAATATAAGAAAAGGTAAAAGGGCTGGGGGTGTAGCTCGGAGGCACAGGACTTGTCTACCATGTGTAAGACCCTGTGTTCAATCCTAGCACCACCAAAAGACAAAAAAAAGAAAGACAACATTCACTGCATAGACTTCATACTTACACTGTCCTGAACTGCTTCAGTTCTCTCTGGGTTTTCCTCTGGATAAACCTTCTCTTTCAGGCCACTCTTAGGACTCTAATGAGGAAAAACAAAAATTTCCTCAGTTCATTTCAACAGGCTCACCAAAGCAGGTAAGGAAAGACAATGTACAAACATCAGTTTCCTGAGTTCACTTGTATTCAAACTACTAAGTATCTTTCATATAATACCTGCATTTGCTACTTTCCTCCTTGACTTCAGGAAGTTAGTCTCTCAGCTTTTCAGTTGATCAATAATATAGAACTAATAAATTGGTTTTACTAATCTTCAGGCCTAGAGGTTATTTTTCTACTAAACAACTCTAACTAGATACATTAAATGACTTAATGTAAAATACTACATATCTCAAACTCGTAATGTCAAAATTATACTCTATCTATGCCTTTCCTAACTATTCTTTCTTTCCAAGTTAAAAGCATCTTCCCTCTATTACGTTTGCAATCAAGTTTGTATCTAGTTTTCTGTTACACCCTCATGTGAAACCTGCTATGTAGATTTTCATAAAATTTACATGGAATGTTGGAGATAGCTTAATGTAAAATTCAAACTATATGACATGCATTCACTTTTGGGAAATAAGAAACACCCAAAGTATTCTTTAGAATAACTAAAATGGAGAAATAAGAACTTGTGTATGAATGCCATAGGGAAGACACATTCTCTACACATACATCAAGATATCACAGAGTAGAGAAAACAGTGGTCTCAAATGTATGGCCCACCTTGGAGAAGTGGATAGCTCTAAATCTTAAGATATTAAAAGATAAAATTAGTGTAATACCATCACAAAAAGCAATAAAAATTGTTGAAGATACACAGACTCCTGTTAAAAGACAAATGTTAAGTGAGTTCCCAGATATCAAAAAGGGATGATTCACATTAGAATTTGAATTTGAAATATTACATTCAGGCATGCATGCGCGCGTGCGTACACACACACACACACACGGCCCTATCTCACCTTTGGAATCTGGCAAGGTTATCAACTCTTATGAAAAGAACCCAAGAAAAGTATTTATCTTGCATTTCCTATAGAAGTTATATTTTAAGGTAACCTAGTCTAGCAGTATTGTAAGACTTCCTCTAGAAGTTATATTTAAGGTAACTTAGTAACAGTAAAGGAAAACACTTCTCTATAATTCCATCCAACAATATACCAAAAGAATGACAAAGTACTAGTGTCATTCTTTCAAAACTTTTAATGAAATAACTGATCTAGTAGACATCTTGATCATCATTTTAAAACACGATAAATATAAAGCTTGATGGGGAACTTTATAATAAAAGAATCAGGCTGACATTACGTGCATACTTTACGTGCATAAGTTCATCAATGGTATGATGTATACAGTACTACCCGTGAATTGTTCTTGGCAAACAACCACCATCAAACCTTAATCTGATCACAACTCTAAGTCTGTCAGTTTTCAGGAAATAAGAATAGAGGAACAGGTTATAAAATACCATAAAAATCAATTAGAAAGATTATTCTTTTTAAACTGGACCACGACCCAATTTCTTTAACATTTCTAAAACAAAAAAGTAGCAAGCATAAAAGAGAAAAAAACAGGAAATCTAAAATAACATCAACCAAAAATAATGTGAAATCTTTGGATCATGATTTTTAAAAAACCACAAAAAAATTGTAAGGAAATTAAGATAATTGAACTGTATGTTAAGAAAATAATAATTCCTAAGGTTTTATACCTGTATTATACTTATATTCACCTGATAAAGGCTCACATTAATGAAACAATGTCCTGACTTGACTTTAAAGCAAGCCAATGTTGGAAGATGTGGAGAACAGGTTTGCGAGCATGCTGTTGACACCTGCTGAGGCTGCACTATCAAGACATCACAGGCATCATTAAACCAGGCCCCTCCCTCTACTTCGGGCTACATTTGATACTTTTCCATCTACATACTTGAAAAACAAAGTCATTCACAAACGCAGAGGCCGAATTTCAGCTGTCCACGTGTGACCAATGTGCTCATCTTGAGAGAACTGATATATGGGATTATTCCAAGACTTCATCAGGTAGCCAGGCACCCTGCACAAGCACCCAGGACACTAAGGCAGGAGGACCACAAGTTTGAGCCCAGACCAGGCAATTTAGCACCTCGGTCTATTGTCAGTGCAAAGGCCCTACGATTCAATGCTTAGTACTATAAGACACCAGCAACGAAAACGCTAAGGTGAACAAAAGGTGGCATTTTATTTAACAGCAACTCCACAAACATTACCAGAACACCATTTTATAAAAATTAGGAGAAATTTTTAAAAATTAAAAGTGTTGATTCAAAAGTTGACTTATTCCTCCAAATTTACTGCAGTGCGAGCAAAATAAATATAGAAACTTATTTACATTAAAAGCACCCCTTTTTTGTCTTGGCCACTTACATATTCAGATATCCTAATCTTGACTTGCACAATGATCATTTGTTTAGTGTTATCTTTCCCATCTATAAAATGGTGATATAATTAGGACTATGAGAATTTAAAAAGAATTATTTGTAAAGCACAATATATAATAATCTCTGCCACAAAATAGCATTTGGTAAATGTTCACCGTTAGTCATTCAACACACATGTGAATGAAGTTCAGCAGTCTTCTTACAGACATTACTCTTCAGTTAGTTTTCTATACTGTTGTCTTTGATGGTGCCTTTCTTCTGCTTACACAATAAAGCCTAAATAGTCCACCCACTGATTTTGTCATCTGCTGAAATTCTTACCAAATATCAATTACATGTTAGTCTTAATTCAATGAAGTGTCTATTATGTATTCACCAATTAACTTGTTATTCAATAAAGTGATATTCTAAGTTACAGATTTTAATCCTACATTTTAATCCTTTATCCTACAAGATAAAGCTGGGCATCATGGTGCATGCCTATAATCCCAGCAGTCAGGAAGCTCAGGCAGGAGAACAGCCGTGAATTTAAGGCCAGCCAGGGTTACATAGGGAGTTCAATGTCAGCCTGAATTACATAAAAAGACCCTATCTCAAAAAGAAACAAAACAACAAAAGCAAGATAAAATTGAAGACCATCCTCTGTATCCCTTTCAGGGATTGTGCTTTGGAAATGTAGAATGGCATAGCACATCGTTCGTGCTCTCGAGGAACTTCCCGAGAAAACTTCCTGTCGCAGGATTGGAGTCCACAGAAACAAAGGAGAAGTAGCACTAAATAAAAAATGACCGTACAGGAAGAGTCCCAAAAGCAGTACCCCTGGAACAGCTGGACTCAGCCATTTACAGCCTGTATTCAAGTCTTTGTTTCCAAGATAATATCCAGCTGTTTCATCCATAACCCTAATACACCAAGTTGCCCTGGAATTTTCACTGCTCTTCCAAAATGTTGCGTGTTCACACCTCAGTGCCTTTGTTTGTATTGAGTAGTGGTACTTTGCAGCTAGGTGGAGACAGGGTAAGTTTGACAAGTCTATTAATTCCCTTTGGGCTTAGTTTTTTTCTTCTGTAAAATTGCAACAATAGTACTATTTCATGAAGCTGTTTTGAGGATTATCAGTGTACAGTATGTATGGCCAATAAAGCCTAGCTATAGTAATTTCTTCTCAAGTCAAAATTAAAATTTTCCTTTAAAATCTTTGACCCAATCACAAAATTATCACTATCATTCCAAAAAGTATTCTCAGATTTTCTATGCAAAAAGTACTGAATCTCTAGGGCTAACCCTAAAAAGATAGCCTGAATTAAGGCATACTTAGCCCATAGCTTTCACGTTTTTTTTTAAAAGCTTTCACATTTTTTTTAAAAGTACAACTTTCAATAACAGAGAAACCTTACACTGTCAACGAGCATTTATGGTGGCTACGCGAATACAACAAAAGTCACAGAAGGAACATCTCTTCTACATACCAATCAGCTCTATTTTCTGTTTAGTCTTCCAGGAAAACACTAGTCACAATCCCCTAACTTGATTTCATGATTCACAGTTACAAAAAGGCTCTACTTCCCTTTATCATTTTTAACCAGGGTGATTTAAATCTTAGTGCTATCACTGCATACTACTCCAGTAATCCTGAACTGGGTTTTTAATATTCATGTTACTGTGGTACTACATCATATTCAACGCAACTTACTTCATCGTCATTTTTTAACAATACTCATGTTCGTCTGGTAGTCTTCTGGACTAAGCAAGAGTGCTGTTACTAAACCAGAGCTATGAACTGAAGTCTATCAAACAGAACTAAAGCTTTTCCTCTTTGCAATGGCAAAGTGCCCCATGATTCAAGACTGAGTCACTCTGACCACAAATGGAATATTAACATGCTCTTAAGATATCAACAGTTGGCCTCTCAGTTCAGTAAAAAAGCACTGGCATTATTAACTTTTCTACCCACAAACAAGACAGCGGCTGGGAAATTCCATTCCTGCAAAAGAAACACTTGGCAATAAATGTCTGAGGGAAAAAGTGAATTGTGGAATTAAAAGCTCATATACAACAGTAGCCAGAATTTTTGTTTACCAAATTGCTGTACTTCATATAATTTAAAATTGAAGCAAGAAGGGGGCTGAAAGGAAGAATACAAGGAGATAAAAATTAACAACATTTAAAGCTTACATCTGCACTGTCACTGCTGGGCCGAGATGTCTCTCCAGTGTTCCAGTCAGTCTTGCCCAGTCCATCTCCAGGATCTGCTTCTGCCTCAGAGACAGTCAGGGTGTCACCAGAAGGTCTGGAGGGTGGAACTCCAGCTCCGTCCTGAAACAAGGACACACACACACACACACACACACACACACACCCCAGAATGATCATTTCTGACTGCATAAAGAAATAAGAGTAAAGCTATAGTCTACCTGGGGACTGCTCTTGCTTGGATACTATGTTGTGATTAAGAATAGTTACTTAATCCTTTTACAGTAAAAAGCATACATACTAATTCTATGTTTCTAAAGCGGTATGATCATAAAGACAGGGAAAGTGATATTTTACTAAAAAGAGTAAAAGTTTCAACTTCAAAATATAGGCCCCAAATCTGTTAATTCATATAATTTACGTTATTTGTCCATTAGTAGAGATCATTACAATATAACTTCTGGTTAACTGCCTTCCAATGCTTCTGAGTCTCAGTAAGATGCCCACTCTGGGATACAATGCTACAACATAAATTAGTGTAAGCTTTCAGATCAGCAACACAGTTTTACTGTTTCAGCAGGGTAAGAGTACTGGCTTTGTTCAACAACAACAATGTAAAACTGTCAGGGTTATGGAAGCATACTAAATGTGACATAACAAGAACTAAAAAATTTTTTAAAATATGAAATGAAAAGCACACTAAATCAGGAAGTCAGGAGATGTTACACACTTCATAAGTTTATACATCATTTAACTAGTTTGGACCTAGTTTCCTTAAACACATTATTTTTTAACTTAAAAATGAACATATTAGACTAGATGATCTCAAAGAATCCTTTTAGTTTTTATGACTATGTGGCTTTTCTTTCAAATTTAACTCAAGAATAGTGTCAAATCATATTTTATTTTAAATATGTAATTTGCCCATTTTCCCTGAAGATGCAATATAAAAAACTATATATTCTAAATAGATATGTCTGATTGCCTTTAAACACTGAAAACATTATCTGCAGTTTATACCTCCATAACAAATTCTGTTGGTTACTTTTAAATTATAATGAAAATACAGTCATTAAGAATATATATGTTCACTTAAATACTCAGAATGGGTTGAGTTCTGGTTCTATTACTTTTGAGCTACTTGACCTGAAACAAGTTGCTAAATCTGAGTTTCTCTGTACACATAAAATGGGGTAAAACAATGTAATCTAAGCTCAGAGGTTTGTTGTACATATTAAATAAAAGAATGCCTGTCACGTATTTAGCAAAACACTTGTTACTTTGTAAAATATTATATTCCTATTTAAAAATATAAGAACTTATGTTTTTAAGATGGCAGAGTGAACCAAATAATACATTTATCTAATCACATTTTTGGAGTTTGCTACATCAAAGTAAAACACTCAACTGCTTTTAAAATAATACCACAAAGAAAACTGAGTGATATGAGCAAACAATTAGAAGCCTAAATTTATTTTTGTTAATCACTATGTCTCTAACATCTATGTAGGACCTGCTGTCCTATAATAGAAAAATCACTTTGAAAAGATAACTGCAGCATTCTCTGACACATTCCTACAAGAAAATTTTTCTACAAAAATCTGGTTAGATTTTAATAGTGCTGCTACCTGAGCAGAGCCTGTGGCTTTGGATAACTGCTCCTGCAGCTGAGGAATGTGTTTCTTGGCCTCTTGGATCTCTTTTAGCAATCTCTGTGCAGGTGTTCGGTTGTAATCTTCCTGCAATGACTGAAAAGTTGTTAAAGTATTTTGAGAATTATTTATGTCATAAAGCATAGAAAACATCCATTATTAATCAATAAAACATTGATTACAATTCTACTTGATTGTGATTAGAATAAATAACAACCCAAAGACGCCCACTCACATTTCTACTGGCTGGTCAACAGCCCCATTTCTAATTTAGTACCTGTAGTCGTTCCTGTTCTTTCTGTAACATTTTTCTCAGAATTTCTACTTTCTGGTTATGAACCACATTGTTTTCCTCCTAGAGAAAGGTAAAAAATAAACAACTAATAAAGGGAAATTAAAGCTAATATACAGAAAACAAAGCAGACAATGTTCTGTCTCAGCTCCAACAATCAATATACCTTTTAGGATTTTTATTCCTGGCAGCTATGAAGACAAGCTTTCAGATGTAATACTTAAAAAGATAAATGGTTACAGGGACAAACAGAAGGCAGAAATGTCCTTCTGTTTCACTTTTATTAAACTGCATTCAAGAGAACATTAAATATTGATATTGCTGGAGAACTAAAATTGCTGTATATATAATACCTCACATTGTCCTTTTGTGAATCTTTATCATTAGTTTCCATGCACAGCTCAAATCCCCAGTTCTCACCCCGGAAATATGAAGACAGCTTGCTAACGCACTTCTCTTCACTTCACAACCCTGTAATGTTTTATCAGCCTAGACTTCCTATGCTCTTGTTACAAACATGTTACTCTTTCAGTCCAAAGGACTGTTCAATGGATTTTTAAATTGACCCAGTTACATGTAAATTTGCCAGGCAGTTATAAAATACATAGGGGCAATCTATTATTTTTCAAATTCATCTCCCACTCTGTATCTCCATAAAAGGTACGATCCAAATACAAATCTGGCTACTACTAAAATTATTTGGTGTTTTCTGGGCTCTCTATTTATTGTGCTTCTGTTATCTGTTGCTTTGCTCTCCATCATTATCACTTACAGTGGTATCAGTTTCCGAATTTAATTTGTTTTACAGTTCTGGAGGATATGGGAGCATTTATGTTTGTGTGGCAAAGATGGCCATGGATCCGACTGTCATCTGATGTGGAGTTCACAAACAGAAGCAATACTTAGACTAACATTTGTGTTTTCAAACTGAATTGTTTGCAAACAGAAGCATTCATGAACTGAAGTATTACTTGAACAGTTCTTGAAGGTTATATCTTCTGAAGTTCAATTCAAGTAAAACCTTTCCATAAAGGCATCACAACTAGATATAGTTTCTCCTTCTTTTGAGTCCTCACAGAATTTAATCCCCCCCCATAATATCTACATTCTACCTTTGTATTATATTTATATATTATGTACTAGTAATTTATATATTTTTGATTAAATCTTAATCTACAAAGATGTATTAAACTATTTTGTAATCAAGCACTTGAAACACCAAAACAATAAATAAAACACCCTCGTGCTCTTAAAATATATATTCTAAGAAGACTAAAGACTTCAAACATCTTAACTATATTTTTGTGGGTGGCATATTGTTTGGTATACAGGGTAGGTATACATGACAATATAGGGCAACCATTTCAAATTATTATGTAATTTGCTTATTAGGAAGTTATTTTCTAGAATCTTGAATTTGTTTATCAGCTCAAAACTTCAATATTCTTTTAGTTTTTTTTGCGGGGGGGTGGATACTGGTGATTGAACCCAAGGTCTTCACATTGAGCTAAATCCCTAGCTCTTTATAAATTTTACTTATTTTGAGACAGGGTCTCTCTAAATTGCTAAGTTACACAGACCAGGCTCAAACTTCTATTGCTATCTTGTCTCCCGATGCTGGGATTATAGACGTGTGCCACCACACCTGGCTCTTCAGAGCTCTTCACATGAAGCAAAGGAATCCTTACACAACCAAGCATTTACTAACAAACGTTTCCTAGTCTTACCCCCATGAGCACAGGACTAGTGATTCTCTCCATATTCCCGGGTGCTCCAGGTGAATGAGGGGAGGTCATGACAGGAGACACATGTCCAACAGCTGACGGCTCTACTTCAGAGTCAGCGAGTGGGATCTGGGGCGACCCAGGTGGGCGTCCCTGGACAGTGAGAGCTACATAGGAACCAGCTTGGGGTGGGGAGGTGGTCAAAGAGTAAAAGACAAAAGGATAACATTGTCAAGGAACTTTATACAGCATTTTACTACTTAATCTAGCAGTTCTAAAATATTGTTATATGAGCAAGTTCCATCACCTGCTAAGTCTCCACAGGGGGGAAAAACCCAATATGTTTTATATAACTATCTAAAAAATCTTATAGAACAATACTACAACACTTTCAGAGGGCAAAGTACTATACTCACAGGGTTAGATATTAAAATTTATAAAACCAAAAATCTATTTTCTTACTCTCCTGCACTGTTGGTGGGAGTGTAGACTGGTGCAGCCACTGTGGAGGTCAGTCTGGAGATTCCTCAACAAGCTGGGATTGGAAGGCCCATGTGACCCAGTTATTCTACTTCTAGGCATAATCCGAGGAGAACTGAAGCATCATACCACAGTGATATATGTGCACCCGTGTTTATAGCAGCACAATTTGTAATCGCCAGATCTTGGAAATAACCTAAGTGTCCATCAACTGAGGAATGGATAAAAAAGTTGTGGTATTTCTATACAATGGAGTACTACTCAGCTATAAAGAATGATCACATTGAGATATTTACAAATAAATGGACGCAACTTGAGACTACACTCATCAGTGATATAAATCAAACTCACATGTATAAATACTGTATAGTCTCCCTAGTGTAAGAAATGATAAGGATACATAAGATTTTATGGTAATCATGATTCCCCACTACATTGCTTTGAAGCTTTATGTTTTCATTCATTAGTTGAAATGGTTTGATTGTTTTGTTTTGCTTGATTTTATTATGTGTGATGTTATGAACAGCTATTTTGAAGAAAACAAGACGTTATGGCAGCCATTGCTGATTTAATATCATCTTGCTTTGGAGTCCTACCATGCTTTTTGTTCTTCTGTTCCCATTGGTTCTATCATGTTATATCTTACTGGATTTTAATATGTTTGATAGTATAAACAAATTTTTTTATGGAAAATGAGATAATATAGTAGCCATTGTTCATTTTCTGTTATTTGATTCTGAATGCCCTGTAATACTTTCATTCTCTTGAATGGTTTTATATTATTTTGTTATGTCTGATACTATTGTATGTGAAGGTATACTCAACTATTTCAAAGAAAGAAACATTACGGTAGCTACTGTTAATATCTGGTTGTCTTGTGGTGAAGTGCTATGTTGCTTACATTGTTCGGTTCTGATCTGCTTTGTTTTGTCCTCTTTTGTCTTAATCTCTTTAAAATAAAATTTTAAAATTTTTTAAAAATCTATATTCTTAATTTAGAGATAGTTAACAGGCATTTACTAATAGTTATAAAGTAATTTCTAAAATATAAATTTTAGAATCATTGTATTTTAGGATATACTAATTAGGCAGGGTTTATGTAACATTCTGGTATATAACAACATAACTTTCAATTAACTTTTTAAAACATATTCCATAATAAAGGAAAAAACAGTAAATAGCAAATTTTATTTGGTTTTTGAGACAGGATCTTCACATGTAATTTAGGCTGGCCTTGAACTCATTATGTAGCCCAGGCTGGCCTTGAACTTGCAGCAATCCCCTGCCTCAGCCTCCCGAGTGCTGAGATTATAGGCATACCCCACCATATCTGGCCCAGTCAGTAGCAACTTTTAATTGAAACATCTGGAAAAGTGAACAGAAATTCACTAGACATATTAAAAAGAGAAAAAAATCTACACAGCAAAATTTATCATAACCAGAAAAATTCAACAACAAACACTCATTATCTATCACTGAAAAAGAGATGTTACAACCGTAAATGACTTAAAAATAACTATCTTTAAATGAAAGTTTTTGTTAAGACTTTTTAATAGAACTTTTCAATATATTTTACACTTGCTTCCCAATATAAGCTCCTGTAGAACTCATCAATAATAACTGAGCAGACAGATGTGAAGTATAAATATTTTCTAAGGGTTTCCAGACTTATGGTCTGTCAGAAAGTAATCCTATCTTACTTGCCTGTGTGATTGCTCCCAAAAGCTTCCTAGCCCTTCCCTTCCCTTCTTTTGCTTCTTCTGAAGAGTAGCAATTTGAAATCACACAAATAATGTCTAGAACAGGCATTAAAAAGGGCACAAGACAGTAATTTCAAGTGAACTACATAGGTCTCAGGTCTATGAAGTTTATGTCTGTTTTGGATACTTAAGAATGTTTTATACTTAACTTCGAGGTTTCAGTTAAGCCCTCAATGTTGGACAAGTAATCTACTACTACTACAATGTCAACATATAATTATTATTATTTTAGTTTTCTGAAACAGGATCTTCCTATGCAGGCTGGCTTTGAACTTGCTGCAATACTCCTATCTCAGCCTCCCAGCTGCTGGAATTTCAGGTGTGCACCACCATGCCTGGTGCTAACATAATTTATATTGCAATATACAATAAATCTAGAAGGCTGAAGACATATTCTTCTTATAAACTACAATAGACAACAGGTACTACTTATTATTCATATAAATCATCATATTTATGTAGCGTGCAAAAATATGTAAGCCATAACCTTCTTAATTATGCAGATTTATTCCAGTACAGAAGTTAACTTTGATCACTGTGTATCTTTTTTTTTTATTTAAAGAAAATGAAACAAAAAAAAAATGGAGATAAAAAAGGGTAGAAATAATACAAAATTACAGAAAAATAAACGGTAAGAAATCACTGGTTGATAAGTTACATATTGTCATCTTAGAAATAGCTGTTCAGGTTACAAAATTAATGTATTCAAAACGACAGTCAAAAAGTGACACTGCAAGCAGTTCTGCTCAATGATCGAACAAAAACTCAGTAATATGGTTATCAGTCCTACACACTTGTTTTACATCTCAAAGAGGGTAAGATTAAACATATCAAAACAGAACAAAACAGTTTAAAAAAACAATTTAAAGAAATACAGATTTCAAAGCAAGTCCACTGGAGATCTTCACTGTCTATCTAACTGTCTCTAGTTTCTTACAAATAGTTGTCCCCATCTTCACCCACATTATATACATATTGCATATTATAGAACTAATCAAATCATTACAGGATGATGAAGGCTTTTTAGGTCTTCAATATCTAACATTGGGGAAGACAATAATAACTACCATCACATCTCATTCTCTTCATGGTAGCCATCTCCATCTTTACATATGCTGAAATTGAACTTAAGAGACTAGACTAATCATTCTGATCAGTGAATAATAGTGTTGCTAGAATTTATATCATAATGCTACAAAATTAGCATTGGGTTTCTTAGTGTCTCTTCTTCAGACTATCTGTTCATTACATCTTGCATTATATAATCTGTTCCTGTAAACAATTTTTTAAAAAAATCTCATGTGTGAATTTCTACATATATATATCTATCCTCTCTGTATTATAGGGAAAAACAAATCATAACAAGACAGCAAAACAAATTTCTAGAAAAACATGCAATGGATAAGACATATAAGACCACAATATAGGTGATCTTCTGTAGTTACTATGTTTTCTCTTGTTATTTTCAATAGATTTGTCCACATCATCGGCTTAATATAGTATTATCTTTTTTTTTTTTTTTTTTTTTTGGTCTTTTTCCTTTTTATCGGTACCGGAGATTGAACTCATGACTGCCTGCTCGCAAGGCAGGCACTTATGCCGCTGAGCTAAATCCCCAGCCCCAGTATTACCTATTTTTAAAAAACAAAACTTTGAAAGCATTGTAGGATTTGAGAGCTGTTAATAATTAATACCAGTATGGATATCCTTTACATCTTGTCATCTTCAGAGTAGTTGCCTCTACTTTTAGGGTTGATACTAACAAGCATACCAAATTCAAATAAAATCAGCCAAGGCAAACCTGTGGTCTTATGAATCGGATTCAATTAAGATCAGCCATAGTAAGACAATGTAAGTAATACAGGATTTCAGTTTAAGTTAATAGGTAAGTAAGGATAGTTTCCATGGTATAACCTGCTATTTTTGGGTCAGATGTCTGTGCCCTCAAATCTGACATGGGTGGACAGACCAGAACAAATTAAATTCAAACTAAATATGATGATAAGACTACTGTGTCTTTTAAATCCTGATACACTATTAACAATGACTTCTGCCTTTTTTAATAGTGTTTCAGAGCTGTCTATACTATAGCTTACTGTCTCTGCCTCATGTCTGTTACTCCACTTTTCTGCTATAATTTGTCCACCTTATTCCCTCATTCCATTGTCTGCCCCATTCATGAAGTCCTCTCTGCCACTGTTGCTGGAATCCTAGTATCCCTTCCTCTCTTTCTCTGGAATGTCCTTCAGCACTCTATGTAGGGTTGGATTGGTGGCCACGAACTCCCACAGTTTCTCTTTGTCTTGGAAGCATCTTATTCTCCATTAATTTTGAGATAGAGTTTTGACGGGTATATGAGTCTTGGTTGCATATTATTTTCTTTCAGGACTTGGAATATTTCTCCCCATTCCCTTCTTGACTTAAGAGTTTGTGATAAGTCTGTTGTTATTTTGATAATTTTCCTGTTGTAGGTAATCTGCTTCTTTTCTCTGGCTGCTTTTAATATTCTGTTCTTTTGGTAGATTTCTGGAATCTTGATTATTATATGTCTAGTTGTAGTTCTGTTTTGGTTGTAGGTAGCTGGTGTTGTGTATGCCTCTTTTATCTGGATATCATTTCTTTTTGCTATACATGGGAAATTTTGCTTTAATGTATCTGTGAATATTCTTTGTATTTCATTTTTGGTTGCTCCTGCTTCCTCACTCACATTCTTTATTCTTAAGTTATATATCCTTGGGGCTGGGGATTTAGCTCAGCGGCATAAGCACCTGCCTTGCAAGCAGGCAGTCTGTGAGTTCGGTCCCCGGTACCGATAAAAACGAAAAAGACAAAAAAAAAAAAAAAAAAAAGTTATATATCCTTTTGTCATCTAGCTTTCGAATTGTTTCTTTCTGGTTCCTTTTTAAGAGGTTTTTTCTTTCACGATCATATGTCATAAATCTCTCTTCAAGTTTCAGAAGGCTGCCTTTAGTTTCTGTCAGAGCATTTTGCCAGTGTTCAATGGAGTTTTTAGTTTCCTGGTAATCTCTTTGGATCTGTTTTCATGTATTCTAAGTTATGTTTAAATTCTTCTTCAGAAGTTTCTCTTTCTTTTCTGATTTCCTCAGTTCTTCCATCTGTGTTCTCTTGGGCAGGGCTTGTCATTTCTTTAATTAATCTCTTTATATCTTGCCTCACTTGGATCAGGAGTACAGCTTTAAATTCATCTTTGAGGTCATGGAGGTATTTTTTAATTTCGGCTGATGCTGTATCAAGTATTGGATGGTTACTGTGCTTGTTCTCTTCAGTGTTTACTTCTCCTGGGCTTATTTTCTCATGTTGGGCAGCTGGAGAATTTTTTTTATTTCTATCTCTTGTCATGTTTCTGGTTTCTTTCAGACTGGAGTGTCCTGGGGGTCTCTGGCCCTCTCCATATTGCTTAGGGCCTTTCAGAAGCGTGCTGACTTGAGTTTTTTCATCTTCCCCAATTTGCTGTTATCTGGGGTAGGCAGGGATACAGGGACGGTGCAGGCTAGCCTCCAGCTTCTGTGCCAGTCAATCGTAAATTAGGCTGTACTTTCTGGATGTCATAGAGTTGCGACTATTTTGTTTCTGCTTATTGGTCCCCAAGCAGAGGCTTGGTTCAGCCCCAGCAGATCCTGCCAGTTCTCTCTGTGCCAGAAGCAGCTGACTAATGTCACCGTGGCACAGGGTTCTGCCCCAATCCCAGCTGTTCTCTTCCAGACCTCTCTGTGCCAGGAGCACCAGGACAGCAGGTCTCTATCACTGTGTATCTTTTAAAGTGTGCTATAGTTAGGCGTTCCCATGAAGCAAGCTCCGCCATGCTGATCAGAATGAGCCCCAACCAGAAGAGAAACCAAGCCTTCTTGTGAAACAGGCTCTGCCATGTGAATTGGAAAGACTCTGCCATGTGAATTGGAAAGACTCAGCCAGAAGAGAAACCATGCCTTACTCTGAGCAGGCTGAAGAACCAGAAAAGCATCCCTCCTCTCCTCCTCACCACTAATTCAGAGGACTCAAGGTGAGATGATAACAACTGAAGGAAAGGGAATAGCTTGATGCTTGTATTATTTGGTTGACTGCAGGACTGGAGCTGGTGTCTGGGCATCTACTTGGAGGATGGCAGCATACATTATGGCAACTGTGGGGGATTTCCTCCTGTCTTATTGTTGAAATCTAATGCTTTATCCCTGTGCCTGGTAACCTAAGCAACTATTTTAAAGATAACAACGTGCAGTAATGTTCTCACTGTTTTGTTTTTTTCCAATTTATTGTTTTGTCTTATTCAATGTTACGTTTTGATTACTTTATTGTTTTGTTTGATTTTGATATGTCTGATGATATGGACACTATTATGAAGATAGCAAGATATATTATGGTAGCCATTGTTGATTTCCTATTATCCTGTTTTGAAGTTCTGTACCACTTTTTCTGCTTTGTTTTGATTGGTTTTATTCTGTTTTGTTGGGTTTCATTCTCTTTAAGATAAAATAAAAAGAATGAAAACAAATGTGCTAAAGTTAATAACTATGATCAAAGTGACCATTTAGAACACTGATATTCTGATGAAAAGCAAAAGGAATTCAGGATTACTCAATCTAAGCAACAAGGTCAAGAAAGAATTCAGGTTACAAATTTATGTTAAAGATGTTTATCTACTCAGCTGCATGCAGTGGTGTGCACCTATAATCCCAGTACTTGGGAGCTGAGGCAGGTAGATTGTTGAGTTCAAAGCCAGCTTGGCTACATAGTGAGATTGGCTGGGACTACACAGCAAGACCTTATCTCAAAACACTCAAAAAGAAAAACAAAGTCTGTGTACTCAGTGAAATTAAGTAAAACATTAGTGACTTTACTTGGCCACAAATAATTCTCACTTACTTCTCATTTACTAGAACAGGGGCAAAAGTTCATAAATTCTTTTTTATTGTATTCAGTTTATTTTAAACTCTTATTTTCTCATAAGAGATGTAATAACAAATACATGGAGCTCCAATCAAGCCAGAACAAAGAAAGAATAGCTGTGTTTTAGGTAGAGGACTGTTGTGTGATTTTTTTTACTTCTGCTATAATGTGATACTCTTAACCATCCAATAAATGAAACAATTAGAAAACAAACTATCTTCTAGGAAGCAGGTGGAGCCAACAATGACAAGTGAAACAGAGGCCCACGGACTGTAAGGCTCAGACTTTACCCAACTCCAAGATTTCAAGTATCTATCCATCACCGTTTTTAAGCAAAGTTCACAGGATAACTAAAACCTTCATCGGCCTATGAAGATAGGGAAAAAGCCCTGGCAGAAGCCTGGGCTGACCATGCCTCCCTAGCAACATAGTGAAGACCCTCTCCACTTTTGACCCTGAAAAGACAAGAGGTTAGTCCATTTCTCCATGGCTGCTTCTGTGCTACAATGATACAGTCCAGAAGTAAACTACATTGCCTACAAAATCTAAAATATTTGATATGTGACCTATTACAGGAAACATTTCCTGATTAAGGGCATCAGAAAATATTCAAAATTGAGAAAGACATTCACTTACATTTGATTAGCTTCACCACCTCCAAATGGTTTGAATGAGTCACCAGAGTTCCATTCACCTATAAGAAAATGAAAATAGTGTATATCAGAAATATCCTATTGTGAAATGAATAAACTGATCTTGAACATTACATGCAATATAATCTATTTAATAATATAATAAACAAGGTTACATTAACATATACGTACGAATTTCAAGCCAGTGCAGTGGGGCATGCCTATAATTCTAATACAAAGGAAGGTAGAGGCAGGAAATAACAAGTTTGAATCCTGCCTGGGCAAGTTAGTGATATACTGTCAGAAATAAAAAATAAAACATAAAAAATTTAAAAATCTGGGGATATAGGTGGTAGAGCACTCCTGAGTTCACTTCCCCTTACCACAAAAGCTAAGGTTTTTTGTTTCAAAATTCACTTTCACCACTTTAAGTTATATCCAGCAACAAAAAAAAAGAATATAAAGCTTTGATTTAAAGGCAATTACAAAATTTACTTTTACTACTGTTCTGTAAGATGCGTTCAACAACAAAATAAACTTGAACACAAAGCAAGAACTTAATTTAAAGGACACATTATAACTATTCCCCATGACAAATGATAAAACAAGCCACAAAACAAACTTTTTCACAGTGAAGCACTAATGTAATTAGTAAAGATGCCTTTGGATTTAATTAACAATTCACTGATTTGTCAAAATTATAATAAATCAAAAAATAATAAACAAATAAAAAACAATTTATAATAATACTCAATTTTAGTTTTCCAAACATAGTATAATTTTTACAAAGAAAATTAATTTTCAGACAGGCTAAATGTAAAAAATGTTATCCAAAGTCTTAATTAAGCTAAACTAAGGGAGAAACATCAAATTAACTTTTTCTCTGATACAAATAATACTAATGTGACATTCAAATATGTAAGTGTATAAACCAGAAATAAAAGAGTATACTCCACACCTCCAGATGTCACTATTATGACATTTAATCTTAAGAGATGCTTTCCTAGCACGCAAATATAAGAATGACATGTACATATACAGAATGTAATTTTATCCTGAATGCCTGTCACAATAGATCCACACTGGCCTAATCCATTCTTCCTACAGGCTTGTAGTTGAAATATAATTTCTTTTACCCCCAGTCTATGCATATTCAGATTGTTCATAAGTGTTCAGTGTGACAAAGCCAAAATGGACTTTCCTGTACACAAACCACTTCTCATTTCTATGCTTATTTCCTTAAATAAGTTCCTAAAAGAAAAATTTCTAGTCAAAGAGACATTTTCTTAAAGGCTTTTAACATGTACTCATAAATTTCTATCCAGCAGATTTTACCTAATTTATACTCAAACGTATGACAGCAGCTACTTTACCAAATTCATACTACCTTAAGTGTGAATTATCAATCTTTTGATTTCCCAGTAACCAAATCTGCAGAGTCTGTGTGTGTGTGTCTCTTTCTCTGTCTCTCTCTCTCTCACACACACACACAATTCAGGAAAAGAAAAATAGTATGATTTTTTTTTTTAAATAGATGGTGTTACCCTTGTATGGGGGACACCATACAAAAACCCACTACACTGCTGGCCTTAGAAAAAAATTGAAAACATGTATGCAGCAATCTCAAAGTGGTGACTAGGCCACCACTTTGAGGGCACCTCTTGTAATTGTAGAGGCCAAAGCTAACTTGTATTAATCTCATGATATCTCAATAAATTTAGTATTAAAATCACACAAGGTTTTCTTTTCCTGAAGTGTGTATACAATTTGGGGTAGACTCTGTATATTTAACTCATCATTTTAACTTCTATTTCTTTTGTTATCACGGAGGCTGGACATATCCTCATTAATGTTTATTTACTTCAATTACTATGGCATTTGCCTGATACAGGTCTTCAATTCTGTATTAGAATTATTATTTTCATAGTAATTTAAAAGTTCTCTTATGATAGTTAAGGATAACACACTCCATAATGTATTCAATATTTTTTAAAATTATTTTTATAAAATATGTTCCTGTTATCTTTTCCAATATAATAGTTTGATTTTAGGTAACTAAATTAGTCAATTGTTTGACGCATAATTATTGATTAGTCCACTCTTTCTCTATAAGTCAAAATTCCTGGCATGTATCTGGACTATAATATTCTACTAGCAGGCATATATTTACAGTAGTGTCACATATTTAAAATTAGTCCATACCACCTTCCTCTCATACATATCCATATTCATAATACAATTTTTTTCTTCACCTAGCATTTTTATTTTCACAGTGATGAGGACTGAATCCAGGGTGTCACACATACAGCAAGAACTCTGCCCCTGAGCTACACTCCCAACCCTCTTCAGTCTTGTATCTCTTAAAGTTTGTATATAAGAACAATCAGTTTGACAAGTAATAATACACCATTACGATTCTACATGTATATTTTGATGATAATTCTTGCTAACAGATTAATTGGGACAGAAATTATCTCTGTAACAGTGAATTATTCTTCTACGCAAGACAGTATATGTATGCATTTACTTAAACCTTTTATTATGTCCTTCAGTGAAGGGTAACATTAATTTAAAACAAATCAAGTAAGTTTTTACACTCAACTGATCCATATATAATGTGCTGCTTATCACAAAACTTGTTTTAAAAATGTAGCTAACATATATTGTTTTTTAATCCTACCATGAATTCCTAGTCTCTTCCTTACCTTGATGATTCGATCACCTGTCTGTACTCCAGCCCGCATGGCTGCTCCATCTGTATAAGATATTAATTATTTTAAATATGCTTTATTTGCATTCATTGATAATTTTCTTAAAAGAGAAAGTAACAAAGCAGCTAAAAACACGGGCTCTCAAGCCAGATATACTAGTTTCAAATCCTGCCTCTGCCATTCACTAGTTGTGTGACTGGGACTTAATGTTTTTCACTCTGGACCTCAAAGTCATCTAGAAAATGAGAAATTAAAATAACTAGCTCAAATTATAGCACCCAGCATTAAAGATGTACTCAATATATGGTAACACCAAAACATTTTACTGTTTTGGCAAAAGAATTTCTATTTTTGAGTCTATAATCTTTTCTTTAATCTGTCCCTACCCCAATACTGCTGGTGCAATGAAATGAAGTTCTAGAAACACCTGTAAGTGATGCCATATGAAGTACCATGACCAAGGAATCATGGTATCTAAAATGAAGAATTGTGAAAAAAAAAAAAACCCCACAACTAGAGTACTACAGTTAATTCGTTCCTATAACACAGACAAATCTAGTTCCCATGACCTACAATGTGTGTAATTATTTCATTTTAAGCAACAGGTACTATTGAAGTTCTCCTATTTTTGCTCTATTCACTCCCAAATGACAAACTGTTTTAAAAATGCCTTGCCTTCTTTCACAGACTGTACGAAGACCGGATTGTCTCCGCTGACAGTCAGCCCAAATCCATTGTCATCTTTCTGGATGATCACACAACGCTGAACAAGACCTGCACAAGAACCACAGGGTAAAAAGAGAAAGGAGAGAAAATAGAAAGAAAAACACAATGATTATATATTAATAATGAGCTGTTTTCTATCTGGGGAAATATAAGGTAGCTCGTCAAACCCACATGTTAAAAAAAAAAAGTACTAAATAACACCAAAGAATAGTATAGATTCTTATATATTGGATTCTCATGGGCAAGAGGTAGAGTAGAACTGCTCCAATTAAAACAGGTGTTGTGGCAAACTGGGACTGCTAAAGTAGTAGAGAGGAGGCAGTGAAAAGGAAAGCCTGTTCGCGTCTGTGTTATGTACTTATAAAATACTTGCCCTCTCAAGTGCACTCTAATTGATATTTAACCCAAGAAAATCAAACACTTCGAGACAGTAGGCTAGAAGCTTATGGAAATGTAAACCTCAAACTCAGGAAAACAGACATACAAAGAAAAAAGGGACTGCAGAGTACCTGCGGCTATTTTTCCAAAAGGGAAAGACGAAGGGAAGAGTTCAAAGAGAAGAAAAACTAACTCAAAGAAAAAATAAACAGAAGGCAGGGAAAAGGGAAAAAAGAGAAAGACCTGTGAGTTCAACCAGTTCTTTCATACACAGCACCTACCTGATGTTTTCCTTCTGTTTAAACAACAAATAAAAATTGCCCAGACCGTATGAGAAAGAGGACCACAGACAAAGGAGATGGAATGACCTCGAGTAGAATGTTAATCAGTTCTGTTTTATTATAGATCAAATCCAAAGACCCTCAACTCTGTGTTAGCCAAACTTGAGGTATGCTTCCAGCTTTGCAGAAACCAAACATTCACCCAAATCGCAATATATAATGTGTAAAATAACACAGAACTCAAGATGATTCAGTCTTTATTTCTGAGTAAAGATTTCATACAGAGGACCATACTCTTTTGAATAAGTCTGATGCACAAACGGTACTATGGTTCAGATCTAGAAAGCCCTCACCAAAACCTCACATTTTCAGAGGCCAGACTTTCATAAGGTGACTGGATCATCAAACAGACTTCCATCACACTTGCATTGTATTGTGAATATCGTCTCCCAGTCTGTGGGCTGCCTTTTTGTTTTCTAAATAAGTGTCTTTATAAGAACAGATGTTTTCGATTTTGAGTCTAGCTTACCTGTTTGGGTTTTTTTTTTAATTTTGGTTTTTATGTTTGATGGATTTTGCATCTTAAGGGAATTATACCTATTTGAACATCTTGAAGAGTTTGTTCTCTATTTGCTTTTGAAAAGTGTCATTTTTTTAATGTGTAGGGCCAAAATCTGTTTTAAGGTACTTTTTGTGTAGAATCTAAGTTTCATATTTTCTAAGCGTGGATCCCATTAGTCCTGTTTTGTCTCCAACAGTCACAATACGTGTGACGTATCGTTATTAGTAAGAATACAGAATACTAAGAATACATCATTAATATACAGTCCTAAACACATTATTTGCCTTAGTCGCTTTCTTGTTGCTGAGACAAGGATTCTAGATTCTAGTTTTTTAAAAAAGCAACTCTACAATTTAATAATAGAAGACAAGTCTTAAAGGAAGTAAAAGACTTAAAGAAACATATCCACACTGGGCATGATGGTACACACCCATAACCTCAACGCTTGGGAGGCTGAGGCTGGAGGATCATCCCAAGTTCAGGGCTAGCCTGGGCTATACAGTTGGCTCAAAGTTAGCCTGAGCTGCACAGCAAGACTCTGTCTCAACAAAACAAAAACCAAAAATACCAATTAAACAAACACAGCAGAAAAATGTATCAGTGGCCAATAAGTACATACAAAGGTGCTTAATAAGTAAAACCATCAAGAAAACATAAAGCCACATTGAAAGTACTCTGTATCAACGTGGAGGAATAAAGTAAAAAGACTGATAATATAACATGTTTCCAAGGATATGGAACAACTGGAATTCCCTTATCATTGTTGTTGGGCATGTGCAACCTTATGGAAAAACGCATGGGAAACTTTTATGAAAGCAAGCATGTACTTACAGATGATCTAACAACTTCACTCCCATATGAAGGAAATTTCATGTCTACATAAAATACAAATGTTCACAGAAGTTCTGTTCATAAAAGCCAAAACCTAAGACAACTCAAATAACCATTAATGGATCAACAACTGTGCTGTATCTCTACAACAAAACACTGCCTAGCAAGATAAGAGAAAAAAAGTAGACTACTTCATTAAACAAACATAAATGAATCAGAAAAACATGCAACACAAAAGCCAGATGTGGGGAAAGATGATTCTAAGACAGAAAAGGAAAAATAGAGTGACAGCAACAAACACTGGAACAATGATTGCCTAGAGGAGAAGTGGGAATGACTGAAAAAGAAACACAGTAAATTTCTGGGTAATACAGATTTTTAAATGTCTTAATTAAAGTAATGCTTATATGAGCAGCTATTTTTCCAGACTAGGCATCATACTCCTGAACCAAACATATGGGGCTAGGGATTTAGCTCAGTGGCCTAAGCGCCTGCCTGGCAAGTGCAAGTTCATGAGTTCGATCCCCAGCACCAAAAACAAACAAAAAAAGAAACAAACAAACCTATGCTATTTTTAAGTTACTAAACATATTTGTTTTTTAGCATTGTCACAAAAACAGTAAATTGGGTTTTTCGTTTGTTTGTTTTTTGTCTTTTTAAGACAGGGTCTCCCTATGCAGTTCAGGCTGGCCATAAGCTCACCTTGTAGCCCAGGCTGGTCTCAAACTCACAACGATCCCCCTGCCTCAGCTCCCAACTGGATACAGGCATAAGCCACCATGCCCAGCAAAAATAATAAATTGTAATAGAGAAGAGAACTAATCAGAATTTAACTTTTTAATCTGTTTAATGTTGCTTTCAAATAATAAAGAAAACCATAAACAGGATCAATAAGAATACATAAAATCAAGTAAAAATTATTCTTTATAAATTTCTAGTATGTAGTCAGAATTAGAAAACCTCCAAATGGAGTAATAGTCACATTTTAAAGTAATCTTTTACTACATCCATGCTTGCTGTGAGAAACACAAATATCTCATGACTTCCTTTAGAGTCATTCAAAATTTCAAAGTAGGCATTGTGACTTTAAAATAAAAACTGAGTCAATTATAATATGAATGTAACTTTTCATATTACATCTATGCTTTCCAGTTCTCCCACTTTACCTTATAAAAGAACTGAAAATCACAGAATTAAAGGTATCTAACACTGATGGTAGCTGTGCTAAGCCACAAGGCTGAAGTGTACCTTTTTTCAGGTACCTATATGGAAAGGCTGCCTATAAGAGATGAAGGAAAAGGATTCTACTTTGAATTAGTTTGCTATATTTGCATATTTCACCTGAATATAATAAAATGTTTGGTTTAATGCCTAAAAATTATGAGTTCATAAATTTTAACTCTTGTTTTATTATAAATGGTAGAGGTTGTGAGTCTCATTCTGGAAAATATATTACTCACCTATCCATGTCACCATTAGAAATCAAATACAGGCATTTTAATGTTAATATACTCCTATCATTAGTGCAAGTGATCCCTAAGAGAATCTCTATTTATGTCTCTGCCTATGTTTTGCTTTGTTTTGACAAGGAAATTAACTTTGAATGAGGAAATAAAGAGAAAAGGGAAATTTCAGAGAACAGAGCTTCCAGTTTAAGGCATCTTTAAAGATGAAAGATAGCAAAGGTCCTCAAGAGGCAAATTACATTCTCTTAAAAGTTTTTCTTAGTATTATCTTATATATTCCCACAGTAATCTTGACAAATTGAGAAACAATACTAATACAAACTAAAATCAGAGTATGGTACAGACAATAAACCCTATATGTTATAAAGAAAGTAAATAGTGGCCTCAACTCCCAAACAGCCATTTTCATATTTTATTAATTTAAAAAAAACCAAAACTATCTTTTATTACTTTGACTCTTCTGGGTTTTTATTACACAAATAATCTAGGGTTTTGTTTTGTTACTAAATCTTTTATGGTCTAACATAAAATTTTATTAATCATAAGCATCATATAAATGTGTGTCTCTGAATGAGTTTTATTAGATCACATAATTACTTGGATGTGAACTCTATTTTGTATGGACACAGGCAGAGAAAATATTTAACAAAGACAACAATACAGTTTAAACTTTCATGGAACTCATTTATCAAAAGGTACTTTAATTCCTCTTTTATATGTGTGGTAGTTAAGCTTAAAATTTGTCAACTTGATTGGCTTGGCATGCCTAGGGAAATTACTAACGCACACTTCTGGGTCTATCTGGATGAGTTATGAAAGTACGACTTAGGGTATTACATAGATCCCTGACCTCCTTTTCTCTGGAACTGTTCCCCTACTCTTCTTCCTTGTTGCCAAGAGCTAAGCATCTTTGCTCTGCCACACTGTTTTGCTATGATGTTTCTGCCCTGGAGACAGCTGTACATGGACTGAATCCCTCAAAACTACAAGCCAAACTAAATATCACCTCCTTTAGGTTGTGGGTATTTATTATTGTGTCTCAGCATGGAAAAACTGACCAATACAGGAAAATGCTACCAGAGAAGTAGAGTTATTGCTATGGCTGTGTACAACTATGTGGTTTAGAAGCCATTGTAACTAGCTTGTGGAGGCAGTAAGAAAAGTTCGGAGAACTGGGCTTACAGAAGCCCTAGAATGCAGTAAGAGCTTGGTGGCTGATTCTAGTTGGACCTCAGAAGATGAGGATGGATGGTAAAGGCCAGGGTCAGGAGGCTTCAGTTGGGAATAAGGACTTCATTGGCAACAGACTACATATACTACATTCTGGCAATAAAATACTACATTTGCCCATGATCTGAGAATCTTAGGGAGGTTCCGTGTAAGGAAAGTAGGATAATTGATCTGCTGGAGGAAATTTCAAGGAAGCCCAACTTTCAGGATGTGGCATGAATATGGCTAGTTGCTTTAAGCCAGATTATGTGTAAACCAGAGGCACAAAAAAGAAAATTTGAAAATCTTAAATTCTGGCCC